CTGTCACTGAATGCTTCTTTTGAGGAAAATCTCAGCTCATAAAACTCAAGAGGCACCAACTGATACAAGATACCCATGTTTAAAACTTGGCAAGCAAAAAAACTTTTTCCATTTCATTAGTAAAGACTGAGGAGAGAAATTAAAAAATAAACAAAATAAACTGATTAGAAAGAGGCAACAATTATGTTGATTACATAATTGAATTCATTCACCTATTGGATTATAGTTTTCTTACTCCAGGTTTGAGAAATATGCCTGATGCTTTTGTTCTTTAACCTGGAAAGTGGTGTGCTCCAGCAATATTAATGTTCTATGCATTGTCCATAAATTGTAAAGCACAGATTTATTCAGAAACTCGTTTCCTGGATTTCTCCCAACATATCTGGTGTTATCTCACATTATCTCGAAACAAAAAGATGTGTTACTCCTTATGGGGCATGACTTTTGAACAACCCTGTAGTTTGATCCTGGAATGGATAGAGGGCATCAACCCATTTCCCTAAGCTTATGCTGAGAATATGAAATTAAAAGGAAAATCCTCAGTTGCTATCTCTCATTTCTGGCCATACAATGCAGGAAAAAATGTTTGCAAACCATTTCAGACAATGCATACCTTTGTAAAGTTTCAACCTCCCCTGCAAGCCTTATCAACTTAATTTTTTAAGAGTTTGATTAATATTTAATGAAAAAGCTCCCATTTTTCTCATTAATTTGTCAGATTTTACACCTTATTACATGTTTTTATAACTTTTTGAAAATTTTCATAAAATATTAATACAACATTTGGTAAAGACTGTAAGTTGTATTGATAGTGATGCAGCCCATTATATAGCCTGTAACTCATGATTTCAACTTCTATTCCAAATGAACTTAGAAACAGACTGCTATCCAAATACTGATGTGGTAGTCAATGTAGCCCACATGCAAACATGAATATATTATTCTATTCACTTCTGAGCATAAATGAATGGACCCCTTACTAATTATGTAGGTAATTGAGGAAGTGATACACTTCCCATGGTAAGATCAACAGGAATATCAAAGATTAAAAAACATGAACAAAAGACAGGGAGACAAGCTAACTTTCAAGCTTAGAGCCACTTTCAGGAACAGAGAAGATATTACAGAATGACTAGGAGAGACACATTGTGGGAAGATTTGAAGATGGTAAATGATTCTCAAGAAAGGTGTCCCCTGCCTTCATATTTATCTATTGTTGTAGTTTCCTAAATAATGCTGATGACAATTCCCATTTCTAATGCCCAGATTGACTCATCTTTCATGCCTTACTCAATGTCTCTGCTGACTGTAATCTCCCTTTGCTTCATTACATGTTTCAATAGGATCATATGTAAATGCAAATGTACCTGGCTTATGGCCAATGGAACTATCTCATCTAAAAAAAATCAGTTCCATAGGGACATTCCTATACCCCTTATGATGCCACACCACATTTACTAAGAGTATTCTAAATCTGAAATTTTAATTTTGAACCAGTTCTTAAACATTTTCAGCTGTTTAATAGATTTGTGAAGTATACAGCTGATAAGAAGATGATTTGGAAAGAGCTACTTGGTTGAATAAAAAGTTTTTCAACAACTGCAACATAAATTGAGAATGTTTTACTTGAATGATGATCTGGATTCCAGGAGCAATGCTGTTGGCCTCTTTCAGCATGTTACAAAGCAAATGTGAATGTTCTGCAGCATTCAGTCTTTGGACTAATCCAATTTTTTACCTACTGTATGGCCTGCAAAATTCTAATCATGTCAGGTTTGTATTGTTTGTTAATGATATCAACATGTATATACTGGAAAGTTCACCATGTGATATGAATTCTCTCACATCAAAAACAGCTGATCTTGTCTCATCAGTCTCAGATACTTCAGAGGGACTTTGACCATTCTCATGTATTCTCAAACTCAAATTGATCTAACTTGCAAGAAAGTGAAAACTATCAACGTATATCCACCCAGAATCAGGAATTTATTTTCTCTTAATTGGAATTTTTCTGTGGGATGCAACTTCCTAGATGCTGGCAACATTTCAGTTTTCAAAAACTTTCCACTCAGATGAGACATCAAAAAGGGCTTGTGGAAAGTGACAATTAAGGAACCTTAAAATTATGTTTGTCCCTTATTTGTAAAAATAAAGTCACAATTTTTGCATTTAACATCATAAGATCACACCTATACATTTGAACACCAATAGGTCATCCTCAAGAGAACAAAAAAAACCCTCTCACATAAGACTTAAGAAAAGAACTTTAAATTTCAGTCTGGTCACATTTTCAAATTCCTTCAAAACAACACCTCAACTTAACTTACAAAGTTCCCAAGTTTCCTAATAACTAATGGGTTCACACACTTTTATTTTTTAAATCCTAGAATGAGTTGAGGAAGGCACCAGCAGGCCTACTTCTCACAAATGCCAGATGACCACCACCTTTCTTCTCCCTAATAATTGTTTGTTACTCTGTTCAATTTAGGTTCACTCTCATCCCCATTGAGTTGGTCACTTCCTTTATTCTGGTCCTCCTAGACTTTCAGCTCCCTTGTTGAACGTGAACATCATTTTATAGCACTCTGCATAAATTAGTTATGATCTTTCAAGAGCGAATATTTTGAATCAGAATCACTATGGATCAGAGATTCCCAAAACTGCGGACACGGAACAACGGCGATCCGAGGCAACACTTTCCATTGAAGTCCTCTAGTCAAACAGGGCCTACTTCACCCTCCTATAAAAATATTCCCTCGTCCCGCCAGTGGCGTAGCGAGAGGATGGCTGGGGGGGCTTCAGCCCCTCAAGTTTAGTTCTAGCCCCTCCAACTCTGGTCTAAATGCGTCTGCCCCCCGCCCAAGGAGAAGTTATTAGCCCCCCTTGGCGAAACCCTGGCTACGCCACTGCGTCCCGCCAATTAGGACTACGTATCCCAGTTGACAACACCAGGAGGTACCACTGAGCTCACTGGGAGATACACGCGTTGTCGAAGTGCGGATCAAGGCGCGATAAACGGTTGCTAGTGGCAGAGAAGGATATATTATCATATATCGTGTCATCATTAATGCACTAGGAAAATAAATATATTATATTTAATTTTGAAAAATTGATATTAAGAAAATAGCTTGCAAAAAATCAGAATATAGTATAAAAGGGAGCATTCAGGAGCGTCTTGACTTCCATATAGTGCCGAAAGGAGCAGCCTAAACTAAATCACGTGACCATCTATGGCCCTCTGCATTCTATTTACTGAGCTATTGTAAGTGCTTCTACCATGGAAATGAGGTACTGCTATGCATTAGATGCGTCGGGGACCTTACCTGGTCGTTGACGTTATTTTTCCATAATGTTGCTGTGGTTACAATCCATCAATTTCTCAAACTAAGGTTAAGAAAACAGAAGAATTTCGTCGCGTATTTGCTAACGTTAGGAGTTCAGCAAACCAGCAGCATGTGAGATTTGGTATTGAGTTGGCTTTGGTCTTTTAACAATGTTTGCAAAAACCATTGAAAATGCATGTCAAATAAACTCAATAAAAAAATAGAAGAGTAAAGGAATTAAGGTAAGAGTTATTATGATAGAAGGATATGAACAGAAGTAGGCCTAGGCTGACTTACTATACCTTCTTGGCAAGTACCAAGTTGTAACCAAGGTACAACTTTCAAAATCAATATCCTCTAAACTAATCTAGTGATCGTAACTGGTTATGACGTTCATTCCAGGAGTATTTGATTGAACTCAATCGGGGTTGAGTCAATGCAGCATTGACTTGATTACACTCATGTCCATTGCCTTTCCCAAACCACTAGCATTAAAGGTATGAAACTGGATGCATCTATTGGTCGCCATGGATCTTTTTATTTTCAAAGAAGTACACTCATGTTTGCCTTGGTTACATTAATTGAGAACCTACATAAGTACATGGGGGGGATATTATTTTTGTGAATAATGTTATGATAGACTCCTGAGCAGCAGTGTCTGTAGGGTTCACAGATGTGGGAATGAAGCCTTTCTTTATATCCCCCTGCAAGTCAAAGATTATATTTGATTTGGTCATTGAAGACAAATAAATTTCAAAAAGCCCATTTTGCAGTGGTTGCTAAGAGAAACATGAATTTGTTATTGAGTGCACCAGGAAAAATGCCAGAATCGGGATAGGGATGAAATCTAAGAATGAAGAATCTTTAACATGATTGCTGTCCAAATACTATTGCATTTGGAATAGCTGCTTTTCATCATAGTCTAATAGGTGATCATATAAAGTATCAACTCACATATTGCATTTTAAAAATTAATTTAATGTTCCAGTGTACAATTCCCATAGCATGCATTTATTCTGCAGAAGGAAGAAGTCCAAGTGCAGAGTCATGGGTAATCTAGATCTCCCTATCCTGAGATTGCTGTAATTTGTAAGATTGTAAACATCTTCTAAGTAGCACTCAAGCATCTCTTGAAAATGTATGTATTCCATAGTGTTCCAATTTTAGTAAGTAATTATCACATGAAATAGAATTAATGATTTTTTCTGATAATGAAAGATCCCATGGATAAATTTTCCTTATATAGGTATGTCTTGCTATGCAATTTGGTGCTAATAGCATGCCACTTCATTTTCAAAATATGGATGTTTTTCTTTGACTTCCTTATATTCAGAGGTTATATCCAAAATATAGGTCTGACCCTGCTGACCGATTTGTATAGGAGCTGTGATCATGTGTGAATTAAACCAGAAAGATGGATGTGCATACAAATAAGAGAGACACTTCAGGCTCTCAGTCACCTGGCTCTGCAGCAGTGCAGTGCTCTTCAGAAATTCATGAAAGCTTGAATGGAAAACAGTTGCTATTAGAGATCATCAAAGTGCCTTCTTCTAAAGATGGTCAGGCTGTTTATGGAGAATATACAATTTCCCAAGAACCATTGAAGTTTACACGATGGCTTATCCTCTCATCAATCATAAGTGTGATTCTTTTTCAAATGAACTTTCACCAGAGTAACAGCCTCTTTCTGATTGCATTGATATTTTCCTTGAGCATAGCTTTACTTGTCAAGTTGCACTGGAAAGTAACGAAAGAAAGTTTGGTTGTGGTGTCATCTCTTGGACTTCAATTTTCAACTACTTTTGCTACTGGTTGGTCAGAGTCTCATTTCATAGCCAAGGAAAGTATCCATGACATTGTCATCAGTGAAGCAATATCTGTGTGTCGTGTAGTTTTTTATCTTGCTGTGTTGTTGAACGAAGCTGGTGAAGTAGACAGTGGTGTTTATCCTCTATTCCTCAAATCATCTCCACGATTAGACTGCTTGAAACGCATTTATATTGATATCCATGAATTGAACTGGTTCCACATTCCTGAATCGTGTACAGACTGTTGCCATGTGAGATGATGAACTGCATTTGGATGCAGTAGAGTTACAAATCTTGGTGCTTCTAGTGCTTACCCATGAAGTGAGAACTCTCATTCTTTGATCAGAGAATGGAAAAACAGAGAAGCAGACAACAAAGTCTGTCAGAATCTGAAGTTAGGCTGAAGGTGAGTTGACCACTGTTCCTCCCTGATTGTGATAGCTCATAGATATTATATTTCTAGGATACTTTTATTTTAAAAATTGTTTTGAAAGGAACAGCACCATGTTAACTCTCCATAAGCCACTTTTCCTTAGATGCTCCAAGAGCCATTAGTTGAGGAAAGAATTTCTATTATAATAAAGATTCAAGCATATTTCTGTTCACTTTCTTGGAGTAGGGCATTGAAAATGTGCATACCTTAGACTTGAAGCAATTTTATTCATGTTTTTATGATTGACAGTACATTTCTCACCTGGATCTTGCCTCATAAGACTCATAACCATGCACAGAATGGATTGTGTAGATTGTCACAGTTCTTGTTACACTTAACCAGCAGTTTTCAACCATGTGCTGCAGTACCTTGTGCTATGAGAGACTTGCAAGGGTGTTGTGGTTGTTGGCAGCTTTTCTTTTTACCTCTCACCAATGGAGAGCAAGAATGACAGGAGACTACCATTCCTCTTTTCTGGTGTAATTAAGGAACATTTTATGGAGTTGGCTGCAAAGCTCTTGTGATGAACTCCTTTCCAAGTCTCACAATTCTGGCTTCATCTTACTCTCCTTAAATTGTTTACCATGAGTGCATATTCCGTATTCCAGGACTACAATTTAATTAAGAGAGTATTTATCTAAGAAGAATGCCAAAGATCAATATTGCAGTTGCAATGAAGATCTAGGTTGTTTTTGCCACCATACATTAATGTATACCCTTATTCTGGATATTTGAAAAAAAAAAAAACTTCTGGTCCCATGGAAGCATTGCAAATTATCTACGTTGGTTCAAATATTTAGTCTTAATTTTTTGAGCAACCAGATGCAGGCAGAGGTTTTGTGTTGCAGTGAAATAACCAAAAATTAAGTTCAAATTAATATTCTGAAAATGATTGTCTTGCTAAGTGACCTATGAATTCAGAGGTTCTGGTTTCCATAACTTTTAGTTGAGCCTACCCTAAGCTATCCATTTCACCATTAATTATTTGGAGAAGATTCGATTCAACAAATTTTTTTATTAACCCTTTCATACATGAATTATGATAACATATGAATTCAGGTTTGTTGATTTTTTTGTTGGTTCTGTTTGATGAATTAAACACCCTTTTGTTGATGGAAATAATTTTAAAATTTTTCCCCGAAATTACAGAACCAAATACAATACTGTCCACTATAGTGGACTCCATGCACTTATGCTTTTGATGACATACAGAGCTCAATTACAGGTCTGCAAGTTTTTGGCAATTTCATGTGTTAACTCATTTGCAAGACTTGCAAATGAGTAATAGAATTTCCATACATAGTATGGAAACTTTCCATGCCAATAAATCTATTAGCTCGCGTTTGTATTTTGTTCAATCTTTGCATGACAAGTCCTGTGATGCCACCATGTGGCATGCATGACCTCCTTGGGAGCCCTAACTACGGCCCTGCACTTCAGTTTGGGAAATGACCTTGATTTTGTCCTAAGTCGAGACACATACCAACGTGCCAAGCCCATTCTCCTCGTGTCTTTCTCTGAAGGGAAAACTTACTGCAGTGGATTGGCAAGGATGGTGCTGGTTGCGAAAATTTTGCGGGTTGTGAGCTCTTCTAGCCATGGTAGGGAAGTAACTTAGTTATTGAAAGATAACCTTCTTGAAAGAAAAGGTTATCGTCTCTTATATCATCATTGTGGTGCAGGACCACGTCAACCCAGATCCCAAAATCTGATATAGGGTCATGCCCTCCGAGACCACCTTGGCACAACTCAAATCTGGACAGGTAACCTGAACTATACGCCTAGACCTACTTTTGTTGAGGATCATGGCCATTGTCCGAACCAAAAATTTAATCACGTGTCTACATCACTCTGGTCTGACTCTGAGGACATCATTCTTAGCCGATAGTGTCAACTCTCTCTTTTTTCACAGTCGTGAGGAAAATCAAGAGCTTCAATTGTTTTCCTAAGTAATGAATAGAGAGGGCTGGGAAATTCCATATCATAGAACCTTAGAAGCCTCAAATGCATGGTGTCCACTGGAGTGGATGTTAATACATTCACAATAATATGTTGGAAATGTGTGACTGATTGAAAAATCGCTTCATTTAACATTTCTTAACTGAAAAATAATTCATTACCACCTTCAAATCACCCGAACAATTATAATTGAATTTTTTTATGAATTGCCAGTCTTTTCCTGCCATGGTGGGACTAATGCATCACATATTCTTCTTTACACTAGCTATTTCCCATAATAGGTATTAAATATCAGTAGCATCCAATGGAGATCTGTGCACTGAAGTTGAAAGCATGCACTAGATTCATAAAAATGAAGCCACCTCTGGGCCCATATGTAGTTAACGACGTGTCCACTACAGTGGACTCTATGCGTGAAAGGGTTAAGTACATTCTTCAAATATTTTTAGCCAGACTGGTTATTTGATCTATTATCCTCATTGAGCATTATTCATGAGGTTAGGCTATGTTTCATTTGAAAAGATTTCAGCAATTCCAAACAATGTTGTTCCTATAGAAGTCTTAGACAAGTTAAGTTTTGAAAATGTTGTGACCTCACATGTAGCTTAGTTTCAGTTTCTGTAGTTGTGCAAAGTTTTTGCTATAGTTCCAATATCCAAAGCCCTGCTTTGGGTATTGAAACTTTTTGCCTTTATTTACTCAGAATAATGTCCCCAAGTTTCATGAGTTGCTTGTGATGTTGATTTCACTGTTTATTGAAGACAGTGATCCAATTTGTACTTCATATTTATGCAGGACTTTTTAAATTTAAATTTATCAGGTTTTACATTTGGGGAGCTGCCCTGAGAAAGCCTACGCCCATGTTTTTAGTCCAATAATTTATTATTAAGTTTAGCTGAAGGCCTGATAAAGCATATTAGTGGTGGAAAGAGAACAAAGCTCTATTATTTGTCACCCAGGATGAGGAAGTGGGAATTCATGTGACTCCAAAGAGGGTTGCCTTATTCTTCCTCTCCTTTCGTGTCATCAATGCTCTCGTCACTCGTACTTATTTTGTCCCTGATGAAACTTGGCAGTCCCTGGAAATTGCTCATCACAGAGTTTTTGGGTATGGCCAGTCTTAATGTGTTTGTCCTTACAAGTTTTCTAACATTGATGCCTATGTAATTANAATTTTATTCATGTTTTTATGATTGACAGTACATTTCTCACCTGGATCTTGCCTCATAAGACTCATAACCATGCACAGAATGGATTGTGTAGATTGTCACAGTTCTTGTTACACTTAACCAGCAGTTTTCAACCATGTGCTGCAGTACCTTGTGCTATGAGAGACTTGCAAGGGTGTTGTGGTTGTTGGCAGCTTTTCTTTTTACCTCTCACCAATGGAGAGCAAGAATGACAGGAGGCTACCATTCCTCTTTTCTGGTGTAATTAAGGAACATTTTATGGAGTTGGCTGCAAAGCTCTTGTGATGGACTACTTTCCAAGTCTCACAATTCTGGCTTCATCTTACTCTCCTTAAATTGTTTACCATGAGTGCATATTCCATATTCCAGGAAGACAATTTAATTAAGAGAGTATGTATCTAAGAAGAATGCCAAAGATCAATATTGCAGTTGCAATGAAGAGCTAGGTTGTTTTTGCCACCATACATTAATGTATACCCTTATTCTGGATATTTGAAAAAAAAAAAAAAACTTCTGGTCCCATGGAAGCATTGCAAATTATCTACATTGATTCAAATATTTAGTCTTAATTTTTTGAGCAACCAGATGCAGGCAGAGGTTTCGTGTTGCAGTGAAATAACCAAAAATTAAGTTCAGATTAATATTCTGAAAATGATTGTCTTGCTAAGTGACCTATGAATTCAGAGGTTCTGGTTTCCATAACTTTTAATTGAGCCTATTTGTGCTTCCATGGAAGGGTGCTACTGTCACTTTGCTGCCCAAAAAGTATGATGTTGCTTAGGCAAAGTTGAGAATCACTACCCTAAGCTATCCATTTCACCATTAATTATTTGGAGAAGATTCGATTCAACAAATTTTTTTATTAACCCTTTTGTACATGAATTATGATAACATATGAATTCAGGTTTGTTGATTTTTTTGTTGGTTCTGTTTGATGAATTAAACACCCTTTTGTTGATGGAAATAATTTAAAATTTTTTCCCCGAAATTACAGAACCAAATACAATACTGTCCACTATAGTGGACTCTATGCATGTATGCTTTTGATGACATACAGAGCTCAATTACAGGTCTGCAAGTTTTTGGCAGTTTCATGCGTTAACTCATTTGCAAGACTTGAAAATGAGTAGTAGAATTTCCATACATAGCATGGAAACTTTCCATGCCAATAAATCTATTAGCTCGCGTTTGTATTTTGTTTAATCTTTGCATGACAAGTCCTGTGATGCCACAATGTGGCATGCTTGACCTTCTTGGGAGCCCTAACTACAGCCCTGTACTTCAGTTTGGGAAATGACCTTGATTTTGTCCTAAGTCGAGACACATACCAACGTGCCAAGCCCATTCTCCTCATGTCTTTCTCTGAAGGGAAAACTTACTGCAGTGGATTGGCAAGGATGGTGCCGGTTGCGAAAATTTTGCGGGTTGTGAGCTCTTCTAGCCACGGTAGGGAAGTAACTTAGTTATTGAAAGATAACCTTCTTGAAAGAAAAGGTTATCGTCTCTTATATCATCATTGTGGTGCAGGACCATGTCAACCCAGATCCCAAAATCTGATGTAGGGTCACGCCCTCTGAGACCACCTTGGCACAACTCAAATCTGGACAGGTAACCTGAGCTATACGCCTAGACCTACTTTTGTTGAGGATCATGGCCATTGTCCGAACCAAAAATTTCATCACGTGTCTACATCACTCTGGTCTGACTCCGAGGACATCATTCTTAGCTGATAGTGTCAACTCTCTCTTTTTTCACAGTCGTGAGGAAAATCATCAAGAGCTTCAATTGTTTTCCTAAGTAACGAATAGAGAGGGCTGGGAAATTCCATATCATAGAACCTTAGAAGCCTCAAATGCATGGTGTCCACTGGAGTGGATGTTAATACATTCACAATAATATGTTGGAAATATGTGACTAATTGAAAAATTGCTTCATTTAACATTTCTTAACCGAAAAATAATTCATTACCACCTTCAAATCACCCGAACAATTATAATTGAATTTTTTTATGAACTGCCAGTCTTTTCCTGCCATGGTGGGACTAATGCATCACATATTCTTCTTTGCACTAGCTATTATCCAAAGCCCTGCTTTGGGTATTGAAACTTTTTGCCTTTATTTACTCAGAATAATGTCCCCAAGTTTCATGAGTTGCTTGTGATGTTGATTTCACTGTTTATTGAAGACAGTGATCCAATTTGTACTTCATATTTATGCAGGACTTTTTAAATTTAAATTTATCAGGTTTTACATTTGGGGAGCTGCCCTGAGAAAGCCTACGCCCATGTTTTTAGTCCAATAATTTATTATTAAGTTTAGCTAAAGGCCTGATAAAGCATATTAGTGGTGGAAAGAGAACAAAGCTCTATTATTTGTCACCCAGGATGAGGAAGTGGGAATTCATGTGACTCCAAAGAGGGTTGCCTTATTCTTCCTCTCCTTTCGTGTCATCAATGCTCTCGTCACTCGTACTTATTTTGTCCCTGATGAAACTTGGCAGTCCCTGGAAATTGCTCATCACAGAGTTTTTGGGTATGGCCAGTCTTAATGTGTTTGTCCTTACAAGTTTTCTAACATTGATGCCTATGTAATTATGTTTCATCATTTTAGGTATGGATTTCAAACCTGGGAGTGGCATCATGAAATCCGAAGTTGGCTTTATCCTGGTGTTTTTGTTGCACTCTATAAACTTCTTGCAGTTCTAGGCTTGGATGACAACCAGTTTTTTATGGTATGTATTTATCATGCAAATGATGGTAATAGTTGAGCAAACTATTCATATGAAGTCCATTTATCTGAAGTGTGGTTTTAAGAGGAAATTTTGTAAATGGAAGGGGGGAAATTTTTGTTACTATGTCTTATGTTGACACAAAGTGACACTTGCCATGAATCTTCAATTTTCAGGAATCCATTAATCATTCCAAGCAAGAACTGAAGCTCCCATACTTCTTTTTCAATTAATCAGATATGCTCTCATGATGCTACAATTATTTGCACTTTAATTTATGCAGGTCAAACTACCTCAGCTCATTCAGGGTCTATTTGGTGCTGTGGGGGAGATATGCATCTACCATGTGGCACTGAAACTGCATGGCCGCTCATCTGCCCTCTGGACTGCTATCCTTCAGGCATCCAGTTGGTTCCTCTTTTACTGCTCGGCCAGAACACTTTCTAATACGCTGGAGATGAACCTCCTATGTGTTGGGCTTCTTTTCTTCCCATTCAAATCCCCTTGCAAGTGAACTCATTTATTCCCTCAATCCTTTCATCACTTCTGATGACATTTAATGGTTCCCCTTCATAAGGGCTGATTTTTTATGTATTGTTCCAATTTTTAGACAACAGAGGTGGCACATACATGTTAATAGCAACTTTGTCAGCATGGATTCGACCTTCCAGCTTTGCTGTGTGGGCTCCTTTCTTTCTGCAACATTTTCTCACCACTTCAAACAAGCTTGACTTCATATCTCGATGCCTGTTACACTGGTCTGGACTTGTGGTCTCAAGTGAATGCTCAAATAAAGTTTTTTTTTTTCATTAATGTAAACATTTTTATTTTCTGTTGCAGTGGTCTTGGGATGGGGTTAGGACTCCTGGTGGATTCTTGGTTCTATGGGCATGTGGTTCTCACTCCTTGGCAGTTTTTGAAAGTTAATATCCTGGAAGGGGTCTCAGATTTCTATGGTACCTCTCCATGGCATGCATATTTGACATCACTAGGCCCAGTTGTGTTCTGTACCCATCTTCTCCCACTCCTCATCCTCCCCTTTGCTTGCTGGTTTTGGTCATATTCACTTTCAAGATCTCAACGTACCTTCCTCCTTGCCATCTTCTCTGGGATAGCAGTCCTAAGGTTGGTCTTCAAAATCCAGTATGCTCTATTATCTTTCCAGTCTAAAGGAACAGCATTGATCTGTATCTATGGATGCTGTTTTCAACCTGGTACTATGCTTGACTCTAATGAATGTATTCTTTCTCCCTGTCTATATGATTGCAGTTATGTGAGACACAAGGAGATGCGTTTTCTTCTTCCTTTTCTACCACTGTTGAACCTCATCAATGGAGATTTAGTTGCCAAAGTCTTTGCCCCCTTCCCTCATTGGATAACTCAAAGACCGTGAGTCTCTACTTCACCCCATATGCCCTTCTTCCCCATTAAGCATAACATTCTTGAATTGCTATCAAAGGAAAGAAACCCTCCCTATTGAATGATGAGCATTCCCTGGATTTTGGATTGGTGGATCAAGCCAAGAGCAGAAAAAGAAAATAAAAGAATCAGCAAGACAGTGTGGTGGGACAATTTCTATGCTGAGGCTTCAAAATTTACCATGACCTGGCTTGAAGTAGCTAGATGATCATCTGGCTACTTCAGAACTATTAATTGTGCCTTGAGTTACTCACTGTTGCAATAGCCATTGTAATCTTTCACCCATCATAAAGAGATTGACTTAATCTGGAGAAGGCCAAGTGCATGACTTCAGAAGTGCCATTAAAAAGATGACATGGGGCTAGTTCTTAAGAAATAGAAAATTTAAACCACTTGTGTAACACAAGTAAAGTAGTAATGATGCTACAATGTGCATTTGGCTTCTTGAATAGAATGAACACTTTGTGCTTACTCTTGTCATAAGCCTTGTATGCATGAACATAGGAGAGCTGAAATTGAACATCTTTGGCATTACTGGAATTCCCTTGACGTCATAGACTTACCAATCAATTGAGTCTGACAAGACCAGTTTCATGGTCCTGCCTGCTTTCCATGCTCAGTTTCTTACTTTAATATCATGACTACCAGGACTGGCTAGCATCACATGGGCTAGCTGTGTGCTTACATTCAGCAATTCTGTCATCATCCCTTGGTATACTTTCCCTAGGTCTGATCAGAAACAGCTCAAGAGCTAGTCTGAGTTTGGTTTACTTCATAGGGAAAGCAACTTGGCCATAAAGGTTCACTTAATCATACTGCCATATCCATGCATTGCTTTAGTTACTCCACATACCATTACCAACATTTTGCATTTCCCTAATTCCTCCATGATTGATGAGTGCTGGAACCTGAGAATAATGTGGTCTAAAGGAAGAGAAGTTAGACGTACTGCTCCTATTGAAAACACCCATTCATCCTCCCTTAAGTACCTTTGATAGTCCTATGTTGTCTCATGGAGTGAAAAACTTCAGTTGAGGCCTGTCATAATGAGCTTGGATGCAGGAATATTCTCCTTGGTGCAAATTATCCTCCTTAGAATGAATTTGTATGTTTGAATGTATGTGCATAGCATGAAAAAATCCCACTTACAACAACATCTCCCTAATAACAAAGGAACTTAGAGCCCCCTGCCTCGTCTTTATAATGGGGTTTTACTGTACCCTTGAAAATCCTTGAAAAACTGCTCTGCCTGGGTTGTGTTGATCCATTTCAGTCCAACCTTGGGCTTGACCTTATTCATGAATAGTGAAAATAGCTATTTCCATGTGGAATGATTCACCTTTGTTGGTGTTTGCTTTTTCTTGTCGTAGGGCCCACCGCCTGCTTTTTGGAATCCTACTTTTTGTGAATGTGGTTCTGGCCATGGTAGGGAACTGCCTGTACATGAGAGGTCCAATAGGTGCCATGGAACTCATAGCAGAAGCTGCTCATGAAAGTCCACATTCCACTTCCGTCCTTTTTCTTCTACCATGTCATAGTACGCCGTACTACAGGTACAGTACATACATCTCTGACATGTCTCATATCTTTCTGGCATGTATATCTGCAATTCAAAGTAATTTAAAAAGAAGATCTAATCTGTAGATTGTTTACACATAAGACTGTACATGTCCTGGTACTCCTTTATGGTGATTCTAAGTGCTATCTCTTTTTGTCTGTAGCCATGTCCATGTGAATATCTCCATGCATTTCCTAACATGTGAACCCAACTGGAATCAAACCCCAGGGTACCTTGATGAAGCTGACCAGTTCTACTTATCTGTGATACTGAACACAGAACGCCTCATCATTGAACTCTCCCCCAGTTACATAGTGACTGCCTCACACTCTACCATGGAGCTGAAGGATATATTTCATAAGTATGGTTATTCATCCTGTGATATTATATTCAGCATAGGTCCACCTGGTGAACAAAAGCGATCAGGGAATTACTATGTGTGCCAAAGATTTCATTCCTAGGTGGTCACTGCTGTCTCCATACTGCTGTGATTCCTGTTTGTTGTGAATGTTATTATGAATGGAGACATTTTGTCATCTCAAATCATGCAGATTACTTAATTACCAATGACTTTCACTGTTACTCTTGATAGCAATCCAGTGAGTTGTACCAATTGAAACTTTTAATATTACTTTTTGCTCTGGTACCCTACTCTAGCCATTGACTTCATTATTGTCTCACTTATATGGCTCATTTACTTCTTAATGGAAATGAACTTGAAAAGTGATAAAATATACTTGTATAAATTTTGTCTCAGTTTCTCCTCTGTCTTGATTGAATCTTTTTTTAATTATATTAACTCTGAAGAAAAAAAAAAGAGCTGTTAATGTTGCTGGGGTGTTTTAGAGGGTGTAGTAGCTTTCAAAAAACTTCAAGACATATCAATGCATGGTAGCCAGAGAGATCCGTAGGATAATCCATAGTTTGGGCAGGCCCCATCATTTGCATGGGTGCAGCACCTCTTCGGTGACTTTGCCTGTTATATCTGTTGCATTTATGTACTCTTTTACTTTGGCAGCAAATGAACTGCTGGGAAAGCTAATATTCTTTACTTCTTAGGCAAAGTGAAGGGCTCTGTGCAACAATGTGCTAAGTTGCTCAGTCATTACTATAAAAAAATATATATAATAATAAATTTCCCTCAATTATCAAATAATCAATTATTGCCAGTCATTCCTAAGATCTTTCACATGCAAGTGAAATTTTTTTACTTTAGGAAAATGTCTGCCTTAGTGAGGAAGGGCCTTTAAATGCCTTCTCTGTAAGTCTGTTGTCTATACTCCAGCTGTTGCTTTTTTGAAAAGAGCATTTGAGAATTTAGTGTGTTTCCATGAAGCCCTTTAAATTTTCTTAATGTTTTCCTCAAGTATATTTTCCAGTGGTGCAGAGTTTCTGTAGCTTTCCTTACCATTCCTATTTTTGTTCATTTTAAGTTATTTTAGTCTTGAACTTAAACTTCTTTCAGTAGAGTGTAAGTGCTGATTTTAGTTCTATCTTTGAAAGTTCAATATGAGTCATTTTAAGATCTAGTCCTATCAATTATATTTATGTTTTTGCAATCTCAATACTCGTGACACGCTGAATTTAAGTCACACAGAAGCATTTTGCCTCTGAGATTTCATATGACTGAATGACATCAGCATTTGGCCACATTGGGGTACCTTGTCTCCCACCTGAGGCCTGCTTCTGGTGACAGGGGACAACTGGTACATAATAGGGAGAAGAGTTTTCTTCTCCCAAAAATGGTGTTGGAATGGATGGATGCCATAGATGAAAATGAAAATTACATCAGCTCCTCATGGCATTGTGCATGTGCTTCATCCCAGTTCTCTTTTTAGCAATGGATTAAGCCTATAATCCAGTAATCTGTCTGGACTCTAAAGCTTTATAGCTGGCATGTAGTCAGGTATTCTGGAAGTCCCAAAGAAAAAAGCACTTGGGAATTTTGGCATGTCATGAATACTTCTTGTATTCTGGATGGAGATGAAATTCATCTTGAAATACCAATTTCTTCCCAATCAAGCATAAACTCCACCACTCCACTTTATCAGGTTTGGCACCATATCTGCTTTTTCATGTTGCATTCGTCAAGAAAGGGTAACTATCCTTTATAATTACAAATCTATTGCTTAAATTAAAGTATCCACTCTCCAACATTTCTGATTTGTTGCTTAAAAATGATCATTTTTCTAATGAAGAAAATCATTTATTGCTCAAATTTCTGAGTGGTGTTGGACCCCTCAATGAAATGAAATTGCTGAGCAGTGGTATAAAGAAGTCCTTTACATTCCAAAAAGTCATTCAGTGCTTTTACCATTATTTACCTGATATTTCTTCTTTTTTTTTTGGTCTTTATACTTTTTCATTCTCTAAGATGAGATTTGAGCGCTTTTCTTCTCAGATCTACTCCAGTCAGTAGTTACTGGATGAACCTCTGCATACCTTGTTGCATGCTGTGTGTCTATTTGGCAAAAAGATAACAAAGGAAAAATTCTGAAGATTCAACACTTTTCCTACCCTGTTAAATGCATTTTGGTTGAAGCTGCTTTTCCCTCAGAGTCCTGTGAACCACCCTGTGGGCATTAAGCAAAAGCTAGCAAATGAAAAATTTCCAAGTGGAAATTGAACACAAGAACTACTGAAATTATTCAGTAGTTGACTAGAGCCCTGGAGTGATTTAATTTTTTCCCTTGGGCAAGGAAAGTACAAAATAAAACACTTCTAAATGACTCTGAGCTATACATTGTGTCACATCTTGCTTTTCCTCGTCTTTATTAAGGTTTTTCTTTCTCATTTCAAGGCTTCCCAAGGCATTAGGATTCATTTCCCTTGAGTACAAAGATATATCCTGCTTCTAGGTCTGCCCCATTGAGGAGTAAATTTTGAGAGTGACGGTTCCGTGAACTGGTCAAGCCAATAACCGGAGAGGTTATAGCGGTTATTTGGCGGTCAAGCAAAAAACCGCGCAGGTTATATGCTTGACCGCCAGAGGATGAATTGCTGCTAAAGGAAAAGCAGGAGAGTGGAAAAAAAAAGCCAGGCGGCTGGCATTTAGAGCGGAACAAAATTGTTATTGGCAAATTAATTTTTTTATCCAAAACTATGTGACTCACCCGCGAGATATAATTTTAAAAAAAGTATTAATAAAAATCGTTTGCTTCGCACGAAGCACGAAATATGATCAAGTTGATATTTCCATCTGTCGCGTTACAAGTGGGGATAGAAAAATTCAAAAATGTTGAAGACAATCATGGCTCTTTTATCAATTGCAATGAAATAATACCATTTTTAGGGAAAGGAAGTGAAAGCGGTTTGATGAAGCCCCTCTGTCAGGCAGAAGGGTAAGTGTGGATTTTTGGGAGCTGTTTCCCTCTTCGTCGACAGTTTTTATTTTAATGCCAGAGGACAGTGTCATCAGAAGCCCGGGTTGTGCATTTGACCCCGTAGATGTCTAGGTGATAATTGAGCTCACCTAGGTTCAAAATACACTGCACGCCGATTGAAGTGGATATTTTGTATTTTCGGTTGTATTTGAAGAATTCTGCTGTTACTTGTTGAACGTGTCAAAACGGTATAAGTGTTATTTAGCTATATTCCCGTTAATCCTTGCTCGTTATTGCACCTATCCTTGCAGGGATAAGTGACAGGATTATCCGGTAGTTTCAAGTTACTTTTAAACGCGAAAATGTAAAATATCCACTTCAATTGACGCACAGTGTATCCTCTTGCGAGGTGAAGCCTCAGACTAAAAACAAATAAAAAATAGCAACTCTGTGGTCGAAACCTTTATGCCCTCCATACTCGATGCTGAAAACAAACGCCGGGAATTCGTACGTGGCCCTTGCAAATGTGGAGTAGAATAAATACGGAAAAGGCACGGGCAGCGAATAGGTCAGTGAAATTTCGGAAGCAGGCAGGTGGCATTAGTTGTAGTTTGGTGCTGCTTCTGCAGCATTTTGAGATATAGAATAGATAATAGACCGGAGTTGAATCGAAGACTACTGACAGTCGGGACGATGCGCGAAGGCAATCGGGAGTTGGCCGTATTGAATGCCGGTGAAGGTATGTCTCAAAGTGCATACAGTAAGTTTGGATTGAATTCGCGATTCGTTCTCTCCGTGACTCGTGGTTTTTCCGGAGCTCGGCAGGTTCTCGACGTGCCCTTTCTTCCAATAACCGCCATGCGTTGAAAAAATGTAGAATATCCCCGTGCGATTGATTTCCCCAGGGATTCCAAGGATCCCTCTGCCCTGTTTTTTGAAGGCCAGCTAATTCCCCATCTCCCTCTCCCCCTTTTCGATGTCATCTGAGTGGATTTACACATGGTAGCATACCCGCATTGACATTACAAGGGGGTAAAAAAAATCGTTCCCATAGACGACTATTGTCCGTGAGAGTGCTTCTAAGTAATAGGAATCCATTCCTTGGAAGTACTCGAGCAGACAATAGATCCCCCGAGATCGTGCCCAAGACGACCTATTGTCCGACAGTCCATTATATCCATCACAGGAGACTCGTGTTTACTCCGGGGATCCGCCACCGGGTTTCTTCAACGCCCCCACATCTAAAGACGGAATTGCTACGTATTCAGAGATCTCCCCTCCCCTCCCTTGCATGCTGCTGATTACAATCGGAGGGTAAACTGACTAGGCCTATTTGTAAACCGGATCCTTTACCAGGGGTGTCGGGGGAGCTCTCGACAAGGCCGTTACATAAGCTTTGAAAAGGCGTAAATGAAGGTCATGCGAAGAAATTTGGAGGATCACCATCTGTTGTTGAAAGGTCATTTAAGCTTCACTAATAATTATCCATCGTAATTGTATTTTTTTTTGTCGCCATGATGTTACTGAAAAGCGCGGTGTACGGCAGCCCTGGAACACCTGCAACAAAGTCAATTGTGTATTGCTCATGCGCTCTAGCGGCGTTTTCCCGCTTCCTCGCCGCCATCTTGAGCGTACCCTTGTCGGGCGGAAATCTGTTGGACTGCCGCAGCCACGCCGCTCGCAGGGACAAGTGTGTACGGGATAGGTTTGCCCTCACTTCGTTAGCCTCTGTAAGCGCTATTTTCTCCCAGTTGAGCTTCTCGTGTCAACGTTAGTCATCGAGCTTTTCACACGGGCCGGCTCTTGAGACCTGGGTCTCCTATTCTGAGTGCGCCCAAGTTACCCGAATAATACGATGGGCAAAGCAAGCCATCATCTTTAATGAACGGAGCAGACCGAGGCTTTTATAACCTACCTCTCTTAGGGAGTATCTAGGCCTAATATCAGGATGAGAATGCGACACTTGACATTCTACTTGACACGGAACATGACTTCAGGATGGTGGAAATATTTCTATCGACTAGGATGAAGGTGCAGCGTACTCCTAGTTCATTTGCAATGCAAGTCAGCTATTCAGAACTCATCTCAGAACCTATCTATGCGGTTTATCTGTCATTACAACTGGTTGATGTGGGTGGTTGAAAGTGATAGGTATGTGAAAGCCAGACTCGGGCCTTTTCTCAAAGTGAATGGAAGCATGTTTAGATGTGTTTTAGTCTTATTATATTCAACCATCATAGCTAAACCTAGGCCATTGGAATGCCAAATTATATTGAGTTTAATTGGATTGTGGCATAAGTAGGACATAGAACATAGCCTGAATGAACCCATCTGCTTTAACTTTCTCTGACCAAAAAGTGTTACAACTAGCTGCAATAGCTTCATGGCTATTGTTCATGCACCTGTTACTCCATTATTATCTCTATTTTACTTGTTGAGGAAGACCCAGTAAGAACCCCCAATCAACCTAAAGCTGAACAGAGCAAATGTGGTGATGTTTAATCTGAGCTTGGTGAACTGACATTGTGAATGTAAGATGAATGGTGTCTTTGTACATGGAAAGAAGTGATCAGTGCCATGGGATCTTGGTTGTAGGCATTTTGTGAAAGGAACCACACCCTGCATTCTTCATTTGCATCATGCATTGAACCATGGAATGAACAAAGGAAGATTCAGATTTTCCCAGAAAACAAAGATTGAGTATGTTATTAAGCATTTCATATATTACCTTTCCCATAACTTTAGCTGTGGAGTTAAGGGTGCATATGTGCATATAAGCTACTACATATAAATGAGTGACCATTCTAATTCTAGCCAATCTTGCATGAATTCAATAGAAGGAACTTCTTACCACATTTTCAAGTAGTCCCAAGCTGATATCTTGTTGAAACAGGAGACCAACATGTAGTTTTGTAAATACACCTTGACTTATTTAAAGTGCCTTTTCCCACTTTTAGTTTGCATATCTCATTTTAGATATTGGCACTGTCAACCCTTGGATACAATGACTGACGTTGAGGAAAAGAGACGTAGCCCTCAAATTAATTGAATGTCTTCAATTGTCTGGTGTAAACACATTTGTAAACAGTCATTTGAATTGTGCCATTTAGATAGGCCTTAGAACTTCAGAAATTTTGTTTGCCATGGTAGCTGCTTCTTGTTCACAGGGTTGCCACTTAATGGCAAGGAAAAACAGGAGGTGCTAGCATACTATCCTATGAATCAAGGGCAAGATCATGCTCAATAGGGGCAAGAAGGGAGGGGGAAAATAGCAAAACTATGCATTGATCAACTATGTTTGGTGGGAGAAATGTTATTGTATGGGTTCTGCTCTTTAAAGCACGTAACAAGTCCATATAATATGAAGGAAGTGACTGCTTAGTACCTGAAGCAGTGTAGGAAACAAATTTTTCCCATGAACCTGAGGTGAAAAATTGACATTTCCCTGGAAGAATATGTAAGTGGGCCACCTGCCTGCATGTCTCTGCTCTTGCAAACCTCATTTGTGCGGGTTTTCCTTGCCTGACCTGAAGTGAAAAAGCTCGAGTGGCTCAAATATCTTGCACCAGTAATGCCATTCCATCAATGAGACTTAAGAGGATCTTATCAATGAACACTCCTATTGAGTATGCCTAAGACCCTATCATCCCTTTTATATATATATTTTTTTTATTCCCAAGGCCTCATTGATCGTGTGTGCAAATGGTACTTTAGATGCATTATAGTAGAAAATATTGCACATTCACTTTCTGTATAAAGGTGGGAGGAAGTGATATTTATATTTATCTCTACAGTCCTCTCCATTCCAATTAGACATGCTGGTGGCTGGAACTTTTTCAGGTATCGAACCATTTAAAATGCCATATATTTGGATTTCACATGAATTACCTATATGCCAGTCAAAAGGGTTTTCACATTTAGTCATTTCCTCTTTTCCTGCTCTGTTTTGAGCAAAGTGAATGTACAGCATGCATGCTGTTGCGTCTTAATGCCTCCATTGTGCAGAGTTCATGCAATTGATGACCCAAGAGTCATTGTTTGAGATTTTTGCTTATTGCTGGTTACAGGTGTCAATCTTTTTTGCCCATTGAAGGGGCCCAGCCAACCATGAATAGCTATCATTATGGCCGGATTCCGGCCAATGTGGAAAATATGTATAGCTTAAAAGTGGATAACCTCACATACCGAACAACACCAGAAGATTTGAAAAGAGCATTTGAGCGTTATGGTGATGTTGGAGATGTGTACATCCCACGTGACAGATTCACAAAGGAGAGCAGAGGTTTTGCTTTTGTCAGGTGAGTATATTTCACATCCATTGCCAAGAACTCATTTCTTGTCTGTACATCAATGCTTGTTTAACCCTTTCAGACCTGGCATCCATTCCAATGGACATTGCATTTTCATTGTGTTTATGGTACTTAGGATTCTTGTGACCTGCTTCACCATTGCAAGATCATAGCTTTGGAAGATACAGGCTTCTGAAGAGCCACTATTTCTTACTGAATTATTGCAGATGAAATTCCTATTTAATTTTTTACTTCACTCTCAAAGTTTAATTATTTTTCTTGAAATGTTCTATTTACAAATGTCTAAAAATGAAAATGTCATCTTCTGTTAGCCATACCATGCAATAATTTGCTAAGAAATCAGTGATGGCTACAACTCTTGGGTTGTTCTGATTGGCTAGTAGCAAGCTGTAGCATTTCATTCAATTTGTTTGGGAAAATTGTGTTAGGATGCTGCTGGGCCTCAATCACCTTGTTCCCTTTTGTTCAAAATGGGAATTTTGTTATAGGTTCTATGATAGGAGAGATGCTGAAGATGCCATGGACAGCATGGATGGAAAAATCATGGATGGTCGGGAACTGAGGGTGCAAATGGCCAAGTATGGAAGACCCAGTCCTCCACCATACTTCAGGAGCAGTCGACGTAGTAGAAGGTTAGTTGTGTCCTGCAGTAATGGAAAACTGTTGGCTGTTACAAGTCAAGCTGTGATATATATTTACTTGGTAAATTAGTTCTTTAAAAGAGAACCCAGCTTGAAGTGTAATGCATCCACTCTTTTTTGGTACCCTAAAAAGAGTTGGTACATTAGTAATTTTTTTTAGAGAGAGAGAGAGAGAGAAACTGAGCTTGAAGTGTAATGCACCCACTCCCCCTTTTTTTGTATTCTAAAAGGAGTCGAAGATCTCACTCTCGCTCACGTTCAAGGTCTCGGTCACGATCGAGGTCGAAACGACATCGCCGCCGCCGCCGCCATTCAAGCTCTTCTCGCTCCAGAAGCAGATCCCATTCCAAGTCAAGAAGCCGCTCCAAGTCTAAGTCTAAATCTAGATCCAGGAGCAAGGATCGCAAGAAGGATAAGGATCGCAAGCGCTCCAGATCAAAGTCCAAGTCAAAGTCGAAATCACGATCCAAATCTAGATCCAGATCAAAATCCAAGTCCAAGTCCCGATCTAAGTCCAAATCTAAATCTAAATCCAAGTCCAAGTCCAGGTCTCGATCTAGGTCCCGTTCCAGGAGCAAGAGTGAAGAACGGGAAGAGCGCTCAAGATCTAGATCTGGTTCCAAGGAGAAGATGGAAGAGGATGTAGATGAACCAGAAAAGGATAAAGAGCCAGAAGAAAATGGAATTGATGAGGATGATCGCAAGTCACACTCGAGGTCTCGATCGAGGTCAAAGTCCCGATCCCACTCGAGATCGGAGTCCCGTTCTCGGTCACGTTCCCAATCTAGGTCTCGTTCTCGCTCCAGGTCCTAAGCACCTCAGCAGTAAGAAATCTTTCTTTGTTTCCTTTAAGGTAGAGGATTTTCACAAGACACTGAGTTTTGGAATCTAAATTCATTTTTTGAATTAATAGTTGATGCTGTGTCCTGGGTGTGAAGGCAAATAAAGCAAGAGACATTTCAATGCAGAGAAGCATGAACTCTTCCCCCAGGTAGTTGATCATTTTCTCATTTTCTAGATGTGTCTCTGTTCTTTTCTTCCTGTAACATCTTGCAAGTTAGTTTGTGCTTGATTGGGAGAGTGGTTGTGACCCAAAATTCTCAGCTGTTTTCTTCTCCATGCTACATAATGTCTTTTGGCCAAAATCCACTCCCTAGAGATTTTGATGTACAGTTTAAAGTGTTAGACCCTGCTTCTATCCTTATTCTCTTCACAGTGAATTCAGTGTGTTGTGATGTGACTGAAAGAATGGTATGGTGTGTTTGTAGGTTTTTCTTTGTTGCTCTACGTCCTTCTATAAGTTGGAAGAAAAAAAAAGCCAGATCACCACTTGTATACAATAAAATAGGAAAGGATGACTTTTGTTGTCGTTGAAAGTTCAATGTCCATTCAAGTGCATTTTTATTTTCATGAAAGTATCACCCCATGGCTGGGCAGACGGGAAAGAAAAGCATCAGTTTGGTTCATATGTGTACATTGGTGATTTGTGAATGGAACGAAATAAGAAATAAAGCCAGACTTTCCTTATTAATGATGAGTGTTGTCTGTGCCCCAGTACCAGTTGGAGCAGACTGGAGTACGAGTTCGAGTAACGAGTGGTGTGTTGGGGTCTAAGAGCGGGTGCAGTTGCAGTCAGCCTTTGCTGTTGCTGTTGCTGTTGCTGTTCCAGTTCCAGTTCCAGTTCCTGGCATCTCTTGTCTCTCTTGTGGAGACTGCAAAATCCCTCCTGTCCTACAGCCGTTCCCTCTTTCATTTCCTTTTCCTTTCTCGTTTCTAATTCCCCTGCTTTCCGTCATCCCATCGTCGCCGGGAGGGAATTGGAGGGGAAGCGAACGTATCTGTCAGGAGATGGAACAGTATTGGAAGGAATGCATTGGCAAAGACATTATTGTACATGGGATGGGTGGGGATATGAAGACATGCAGCAGGAATCTCATTACTAGGCCAGGAAAAATGAAAGTGAAATGGACTGGAGAAGGAACAAGATCCAGAATCCAGTTGACCCCTCTAAGGGATAGGGAAAGTTGCTCTAACCAGCCTTTCATCTAGATTTATATGCCCTTCTGCATCATTTGAATGCAGCTATCCAGCATGTCACGATCCTATCTTGGAACCGTCTTGCCTACTTCCTGTTCTCTCTGTCTAGGGGTCAGGAAGTGGAGACAGGGAAAAGAGGTAGTGAATATTGAAACCCTATGCAAATCTCATTTTTAGTTAAAGGCCATTCAAATTTTTCTCACAGAATCTAATAGAAAGGAGAACATTCATTTCACTTGGCTGAATTTCATAGCAAACAATGCCTGTGTTAATGACAGCTCATGAATCCAAAGATTTGTAATGAAGTATGGAACAGAAAGTTCCAAGCAAGAGTTAGTTGAGGGTGTGTTGTCATGTGGGGGTCACCCCTCTTGTCTGTGTCACTGTTCACATAACTCCTTTTACTCCTTAAAGGTGTTGTGTAATATGTAAATGGCCCCTAACAAGGAAATCATTTCTAATATTAATATATTCCTTTCCTTTGTGAAGGTTGTAAGGCTGGTCAAGGAAGCTCTTGGACACATATTGAGTGTTTCAGGGAAGTTACTGAAAATAGGGTGAAGTAGTCCCCAGGATTACAGCTGCTGAGCTACTTTTATGTATGGACCATTATTGTGTCCTCATTTGATTTTTAAAACAGTTTTTTAACTGATGCATTTCAGTTGGGGAGAGTGGAAGAGCACATGAAAGAGCTCCTAAGCAGATGCTGTGAGGTGGTGCAGTTGGGCTTGCAATCTTTGTGGTATCTTTGGCATCTTCCATTCTGATTCGTTTCCCATACTTTCCATGCTGATGCCTGATTTGAAGCGTGATGCTTCGAGTAGGAAGAGTCATGGTTGGTTTGAGGAACACCTTGAGACTTGCGTCTCATATAGATGAAATGTCTCGTATTTCCTACTTGAGATTTATTGTCCTGCTGATGGTCATTAATTCTTCAGGATGTCAGTTAATCCCTCAAGTGGAAAGTAATCTGCACCAATCCGAGATGCAGCTCAGTGGTAGTGATGGCATGTGAATGATAGCAAGGAGGTACATGGAGATTACAGGAAAGGAATGATACAGGGCTGAGCCAGATTTGCACTGTCAGCCATGCTTGTTAAACTGAAGTTCCTTCGGTAGAAGGGAGGATTTGCACTAATCCCTTTGCCCTGGCTTATTAGAAAAACTAGGAGAATATGTATTCTTTTTATTTCAAAACCAGATAGAAATTTCAAGCGAGTCATCTTAGCAGGTACTCGGGAGAAGGAAGGACTCAATGAGATATCACAGATACTGGACGATTGAAGTTCCTGTGAGAGACTGTTGGATCGCAGGAACCTCCAGATGTTCTTCATGTAAAACCTTTTTCCCCACATAGGATGGTCGTCTTCGTTGCGCACCCTTTGCAGGTGGAGAGGATTTCCTCTCGGTTCCGGATCTTCACAGGACGGTGGATAGTTCTTCTTCGCTGTAGCACTTGTTGCCGATCGCGGACTTGTCCTTGCGAGACGCCAGGGAGCTGGGAATGGAAGACGATCTCCTCGGAGGAGTTTCGTGGAAGCGATGAGGTGGCAGGAGTTTGCGGGTGCTCGAGTCGCTCTCGTCGGAGCTGTGCACCATCCACGGTGGATGTCGATCCGCCGGGACGAGCTGGCGGTTCGGAGATGTCGATTGGGTTTGAGAAGGGGGTGGGGGGAGGTCCGGCTCTGCGTCGTCCATCACGATGGGGGTGATGCTGAATTGGCTCCCTCTCGCTCCTTTTGATCCCAGTGCAGGTGACTGAGCGTGCGGGCGAGGGTTCTTCTGATATATCACCCCGTCCGCCTCTCCGCTCTGTCGAGAGAAAAGAAGCGTCCGGGTCATCCGTTTCCAGTGCGGGCGTCGAGGGGAGAGGCGAGGAGCACCTGGGTTGCCTTCTGCCGCTTGTAGCGGCGCAGGACCCGTTCGGCCCAGCTCAGGAGTCGCTCCCAGTCTTTGGGGATGGTCCGGATGTGCTCCGGCTTCCGCGTCAGCAGGCTGATCACGCGGGATAAGTCTCTCAATACTGCCCTGTGTGATATATGGCCACCTTTCCTCAGAATACATGACGGTGCGTTCTAAGTCAAAACGTGTTTTCATGCTCGAACGTTCACGATGCGGAAAGGTGGGAGAAAAAAGGCACTATTATGGAAACGATACGAATTCTAAATACCTGTAAGCTTTGGCCTTCGAGTCGGAGCGGCTTTCGGTGCGACTGGCAAGTTTCTGGAATCGTTTTCTGGTTTCCTCCAGCATGTCGAGGAAATTGCTGGCCTCCGGCCTCAACTTGGATAGCTGTTCGAGAAACGCCCCCCTCTCCTGCGACTCCATCTTCCCTGCACGAAAAGAGACGTTCGTACGACGCACGACGGGAACCGCGAGACGAGACCCAGCCACCGACCTTGAGCCTTGAACGCGGCCTCGAGGTCCGTGCCCCTCGCGCAGCGATGCGGATGGCGCTCGCCCGCCTGGCCTTTCAGGCGCCTGTGCCTCATGTAGAGCAAGGCGGTGCCGATGAGAATGCCGACGCAAATGGCTCCACCGCCACAGGCACCAATTAACACCACCATTTCCTTCTCGGTCATGCCGAGCATTCCCAGAAGACTTCGGGCCTTCCGCTCTGAAATTAAGGACAGATACTTCACGTTTCTCCTTTCTTCGGGGTTTGTACGAGCCTCGAAAGACAAAAGAAGCGAAGGCCGATCGGTGAACGCCCAGGAAACCGCAAAAAAATGATGAGAATGGGGACCATGAGAAAATTTAAAGTACTTTATTGGTGTCACGAAAAAAAAAAAAAAAACCTTTGCCTCCGACGAGCGATTTCTCTCAACCTTGAAATCTCTCCGAATTACCGTCCGGGCAGCGAGAACGGGTGCAATCCACGTCTCGTTTCGTTTCTCGTCTCCGAGGATTTAAACCCCGAAACGGATGAGCCTCGACCGACACGCATCCGGGAGAGGCGTGCTCGACGGGGAAAAATATCCGGGAGGAACGGATCTTTCGTCATACTCGATTTCGTTCCTCGGAGAAGTTTCATCACCGTCACCGTAATTGCCGCTTTTTCGCGTCTCTAATTTTACGCTTCGAGGGCCGGCCGAGTACGGAAACGTCGAACCCTGCACCCTCCAGGTTCTCGGCCTCCGTACTCCCCCTTAGGGAGATTCCTTTTTTTTTTCCACATCCGATACCTTTGCAGAGGAGTCCTTGGAGGGGCTTGTCCTGGGCGGAGGCCAGAGAAGGGACGGTGCGATCGGGGCACGCGTCCACGCACTCGCCCGTCGCGGGGAGGAGCATGTGGAGGCACTCCCGGCACCCGGCGTCTTCCAGGCAGTCCACGCACCAATCCTGACTGCAGCTCTCGTCTGAAATACCGAAGAATTATTTTTTTTTAAACGTTAAGAGGGAATTTCGCGCTTCGATCCGCCACCCACGTCCCCGTTGTTCTTCGGCGGAAGAGGAAACACGGCGGAAAGGAGAATGCACACCGTACCCTCACGATCCACTCCATCTCTGGTATTTCCCCCTCCCACGCGACGAAGAGAGAAAAAAAAAAAAGCAGCGGACCCTAAACCGAAATCGGGAGCCACAGAAGGCCATTCCATCACTTAACCTCCCACGATGTCAAGGCCCCAACTCGGAAGGCGATCCTCGCCGTGCCCTCTCTTCCCTCTTCGTGCCCTCCCCCTTCCCCTCTCCGTGCCCCCGGTTTTCGAGCGAGCGAGGTCGACGACTGCATTTCGAAAGGGAAAAAGACGATGAGGAAATTTGGGATCGCCACCGGTCAAACCGGACCGTACTCGCAACTTTCCCTCGTTCCCCGATCTTCGAGGAAAAAAAAAATGGTATAAACCCATTAGAGAGCGTTGCCCCTCGTGTACACTTCGGCACTCGGCCACGCTTGGCTTCCCGTCTTCCTTCCTTCCGGCTTCCCATGTGAGACCCCGGAGACTCAACCGGCCGTGACTGGAATCAACGCCCTCCATCATCGTCTTCCATCGTCGACCTCCATCGGCGTCTTCCCCGTCGCTCCTCGCCCCGATTCCGCCGATAAATAAAAGCGGAAACGTCCTTCGTCCCATTTCTCCCCGTTTCCCCTCGGTCCGTTCCCTCCCTCGAGGCGTCGCCTCGAGAGCCATCGACGGCCTCGTTTTCGACACGTATCCGGCTTCTTTCCGTCGCCACCTCTCTCCGTCGATCGTCGCAGCCCCGATCGCGAGCCGCGAAGGGCGGGGGTGGGGCGCGTCTGGGTGGTGGAATGCTTTCGCCGCCACGCATGCATGTCCACCCCGTGCATGTTGCTCGTCTGCCCCATGCATGCATGTCCGCCCCGTGCATGCATGTCCGCCGACGACCGGCGTGCTTCGGAAGCCGTCGACCGGAACGGAACGAAACAGACCCTTAAGGTGACCCCGCTATCGAATATTTTCTCCACCGCACCGAAGAATAAAAAAAAAAAAAAACCTGAAAGGCGAGGATTCCCAAAAACCAAAGTGGAGAAAGTAAACCCCTCGGTGTCGACCTTGCTCGGTGGGAACCGCGATGAAGAAACGACCGCATTATTTCCCTCTCTCGGTCGCCCCGACGAAAGTACTTCTCCCCCCCCAAGGACAACGGGGAAAGTCCAGGCATTCCCGGAATGCCCACGAAACGACCACCCTCTCTATCCACTCCCGACATCATTACGCACCTAACGAAGGCCACCCGAGAACCCCCTTACCCCCCCCCCCCTCGATCGCCACCGAACGGCAATGGCCCTCGATCCGTAACGAAAGCAGGGAGGTCATCCGCTGCAACCTCCTTTTGCATCGAATGAGACCCCCCCCCCCCCCCCCCTTCCCCGCAAGGACGAACCCACGATTCTACGCCGTCGAGCGACCGTTTAAACGGACTCCCATCGAAACGCGAGAATGGATCTTTCTTCTCGTGTTTGAGGGCAATCGACTCCCGAATCCCCCCAGGTCCTCGTCTTCGAACTCGACCTTCGTCCTTGCTTCCGCTTCCTCCTCGAGATCCTTAATCACGCCGCGATCCTAAATCGAGCCGAAATCCCGGCTCCCAAGAAACCCCACCACTTCCCCCACCCCCACCCGAACTTCTCGACGTACCTGGCTGCAGACCTTGGCAACACCCCGACACCACCACCACCCCAACCCACAACGCCCAACCGTACCCACACTCCATCTCACATCTCACAGCAACAGGAGCTCGCTCTCGCCCCTTCCTCGTCTCCTCGAGGACTGAGCCCTTCCTCCTTCCCCTCCGGCCTTTACTACCCTGCTTTCTCGGTCTCTCCTTCGGCGATCATCACTCCTCCCCCCTCCCCCCTCCCCTCCCCCCCCTCACGCACGGAACACCGAACTGGAAAATACCAACTCTCCACGGCTCGTTTTAATTAATTATCACCACCATTTTTTTTTCTCTTATTACCTCGTTGAATAAAAGAAAGTGGGCTCGTATCCTTTCGATGAGGCCATGCTCTCAAAGTCTTCATCTCTCCCCGCCTAATTAATCACCGCACCGAGAAAGCCAAGTCATACCGTTATTTATGCAAACACCGTACACGGACCCGCGGAATGACTAAGGCTATATATCGTACACTCTCCGACCCCTTCGGGGGGGGCCCCTCCATCGCATAATGATATTCCATTAAAGAACCTCCAAAGACCGACCCCATTCCAACACCCCCCCTCCCTCACGCAACAAAATAAAAAAACTCGCTCAAAACCCCAAAGAGATATATTTCCAATCCCATCCATCCGGATCCCTTCGACTCAATCCAGCGCCTCCGACAGCGGGAGCGGCGAGGACCCGGCCCCCCGCTGCCTCCTCCCGCTCTCCTCCTCCTCCTCCGTCTCCATCTCCCCGTCCGAGTCGTCCCCGCCCGACCCACCGAGGAGGCTCTGCATCAGGTTGTCTGCAAGAGATGCGAAGACTCGCACGATCAATCCCAAGACTCGTAGGATCGATCCGACGACACGAACGGTGGCGTTCGTCGAAAGCCAGTAGCGAAAAACCGGGGAAGAACACAATGAATGCAAAATTTCAGCGGCGTAACGTAGCCAGTGATGTTAAGTGCCAGTCGACCGATAACGTTACTAACCCTGTTATCCTGTAATTCGTATGGGCATCGTAAGCCTCTTCTGAAATATGACGTTCGTAATTCTTCTTTGAAAAAAAAAATTAAATACTTTGTTTCTTCATCCTAATCCTTGGCTCTCACGCACAGGTATATATTCTCATGAGAAAAGCTGAGGGGTAAAATACTCCAGAGGGCGGCATCGGCTTTTAAACCCTTGCTCGTGCTCTCATCGTGTCATGATGACATCTTCCAATAAGAATGCATTCGATGAATTAAACAAAACTCATCGCTCTCTCTTGCGATCCTTGGTAGGGGATGGACAACTGCCCCTATATTCATTCCTTAGGGAAATTGGACTTTTTTTTTAAATGCCACAATAATCCTCGAGCCCAAAAAGAACCAATTAAAATAATTATGGACCTTTCTGCAGGTGCACGATGCCGTGAGGATTTAGTCTCGCATGTGAAGACGACCGCTTCGTGACTTCACGCACCACGCGATACCCGCACCTTACGCTATTCGCCGATTTCCCCGTAGCAACGACGCAAAATTCTTCGCGATGGTCATCGGAATGGCGCGAGGGAACATTCAGCGCAGACCATCTGCCAGGAGCTTGCAATACGATTAGGTGATCGTGGTTCATTTTCCCGTCTCGTGCTCGCAACACGGAAAGGCGCTAATGCATCCGCATTAGCACTTCAAAGTCAGAACCATGAATTGCAGCGGAAGTGAATGGAGCCCGGTCCCCGCCGCGTCCCCTCCCTCCCTCGATGCCCGCTGTTAATCTTGCGTGCATGGCTTCCAGGCTTCGAAAAGCGAAGCTCTACGAGGGCAGACACGCGCACGAGATTTTCCCCTTCTTAAGCACGAAGCCCAGCGGTTACGACTTGCATCCATTTGGATCATCTAAAGCGGTTCTTAACTTCTGCGTTTATTAAATTTAGCAGCAAAGTGATTTTTGAAGGTTCACATGGAGAAAAATCAAACAGTTGCCATCAATAGCTTGGCGATTAGGATTTTGCCTGTCCAGGCAATTACCTACCAACCCTACTCCAGACAATGCCGAGAGGCACAAATACCTAGTTGCAGCCATCAGATGGTCGTCCAAGGGCAGTTCTCAGGGACAATTGGGGCATCCGCTACTTCACCAGGCCTTTGCCAATAATTTGTGGAGAGGTGGTTCTTGTTGCCATTTGCCTCTGTGCTCTTCTTCTTAACCTCTTTCTCTTGGGTCAAATGAACTTGAATGTTGTCTTTTCTCATGTTCCAGAAAAGAACTATGCTGGTTCGCGGTATCATTTTCTGCATTCTGGAGATGGAGAGGGGTGTGCATCCATGCTGATTGAATATCACATGAGAGAAGGATATCCTAGTGAAGTGGATCTTTTCATTGCACAAACCGTTTTCCAGTTAGTCCGATCACTTTCTCTATTTGGAATTCCTTTTCTTATGTATTAATTTTATGCATTAATTACAAATGATATTTCCTTTTCTTTTACAGGTACCTCTGCCTTCGTAATAAATGTGTTGCCCATTCTGTGTTTTTTTGCTATACTTTGAAGCACCCAGATATAAAGAGCAAACCCCCATTCATATTCCCTCTCCTCAACTTCCTCTGGCTCCTGCTCATGGCGATAGAGGGGTGAGCCGACGTCCCGTGCGCGTTTTCAAAATTTTCTAAGACCCGAGTGACTTTTTATCTGATGGTCGCTTCTGCTTGCTCGTTTCAGAGGAAGATTGACGGTTTTCAGCATCCTGTGCGACAAGTATAAGCCGAGCCTCTGTCGAGAACCTCTGTACTTGGAGTATCTAGATAGGATAGGACAGATTTTCTTTGGACTCCCTCCTCCGCGGACACGGCCGACTTCCATCCTAGGTGAGGCGTTGTTTCTGCTCGGTCCGAAGGGGCCGGCCGTCATGGCCCGTGCGAGGAGCCGTTTATCTATTTTGAACTGTGATGTGAAGGTAACTTAGCGAGTGACTGGTTACAAGTTATCAGTAAATCCAGTTTCTTGTGTGGCCTTCTTCAATTTCTTTGTTGCTCTAGTGTGTTTGATTTAAAATCCGCCCTGGGCTCGTGGTGACCCCTCTGCTGATATGTTATAAAGGAATTCTATGACAGGGGTGTGCTGTGTCACTCCTGTTCTTATTCTATTGTTGGTCTGCAAAGGAAATGGACTTGTGAGGTATAACTTTTCTATTAAATCCTTTATCTAGACTTAAGCTTGCTCCTCTCCACAGATGGAATAATGCCTGTTCATGGACAGCAGGAGCTCTGCTATGCATTTGTGCCAACTGTACTACTTGCAAATTATTGGGGGGACTCTCCACAAATTATTGGCAAAGGCCTGGTGAAGTAGCGGATGCCCCAATTGTCCCTGAGAACTGCCCTTGGACGACCATCTGATGGCTGCAACTAGGTATTTGTGCCTCTCGGCATTGTCTGGAGTCATTAGTCCATGCAAACTGCACATTTAAACAAAAAGACCACAGCTCAACTTCTCTCGAACTTCAGTCCTGCTTTAGTCCAATGGCTTATCAAAGAATTTATTCCCAAAATAGTCTCACCTTCCCAGCTTCATAAGTATCTCCTCTGAAACTCCCTGTTGAGACTTCTCCAAGACCTCAATGAAGAGGACTGAAAGGTCAGTCCCACTGTGTTGCTATATCAAAGAGAAGAGAAAAACAGAAAGTTATTTTTTTCCTCATGGCATGAATACAAACGTTGAACTCAAGTGTATATAATCTGCACAGCTATGTAAGGAGGGGGAAAGGGGGTAAGTTTCAAGGTGTCAGAGGTAATTGCAAGCTCAGATAGGTCTACCCAATGGCATATAGAAACTTGAATCCATAAAATTGACTGCAAAAATAACTTGATTTAACACTTCACAAGGACTAAGTACATGCCAAGCTTGAATAACTTCACTAAAGCCACTCAGGTTATCAATGTTACAGTTTCACATTTTTACATGCAGGTGACTAAAATGAACTAAGATTGCAAAAGGGAACATCATTATGACCTTACCTGATTGTGAGTGAGGAGTGTGGTTGCTCCTTCGTACAGCAAATCCAAGAGTTCTCCATATCTATTCTGACCAAGATACCTGTGATTTTGGACAGGATAGGTTTTGTACATTTAGGCATCATGTTTACCTTATAACACAGAACAAATCAAATGTAGGCATAGGCCTACAGTGATCTCACATTTGGCTCAGTTGCAGACAGCAATTTTCAGTCTCACTTTAGTTTAAGTCTTAGTTCAACTCCCATGAGAAGTTATCCTCAAAACTGAAGTTAAGTCACTGTTTCTTGCTAGCTTAGTAAGTAAACTGGAATTAATCTGCTGTCCTGGGTGAGCACTTAGAAGTTTGGCTTCTTGGTGTATTAGGGATGAAAAAATATAGCATTATGTACTTCAAGTGTCACTGCCTCTCATTACGGACAGATCTGCAGGTATCCATGTAGTGATACCAAATGGAATAGGTCTACCATTTTGAATGAAGACAAAATAGCTTCCTTAGAATTTATTTCAGACCTCTTTGAATATTAGTCATTTTGAGGACAAAAGAGGGCATAAAAGTGCCCCCACCCCTTATCACCTGACAGCACGAGTATAAATTAATGAGGTTTAAGTGTCTTGACCTGCTTGGTACATCAGATAAAGAAAAAAATGACCATACGACTAAGAAAATGTGTTCTTAGAAAGGTCAAGAGGCAGCGTTTTATTCTATTAATAGATTGGCTTAAGAATGCAATTTGATCCAATACAGGTCAAAGTTTGAAGTACAAATTTTCATAATTTCATTGCATATGAACCTTTATTGTAAAAATGTTAGATATATTTAACGCTAAATGTGTCACATCAACGAGCCCTTTTCGTCCTGGGGTAGGCTTCCAACCCAAACATATGATGTAATCATAATGTTGAGGTTGGTGCATGCTCCAATGCAGTCATTTCATTTTTGCCAAGCTCTGCTTTGTCATAAATATTTGTCTTATACAATGGACTTTGCTGATACTCTAAGCTCTGCAGAGCCCAGAGTATTTGCAATACTACGTCAGTATCTTACACAGGAAAAGGGTGAAAATTTGTAAATATGTACAGCAACATTGACTCATTCACATGGTTTTTGTTTTATTGGCATAGAACAAGAAATAGTGAAGATCCGAAAATTTTTGTTATATACAATGTCTGGGGTTTAAATGGGCAGAATTAAATTCTGGCTGTGAGGGGACCAAAGTATTTAAAACCACGCATAATAAAGATAAAAAAATAGGGCAATTATTTTGATTGAAAGAAAGTAGTTGAAGTATCAATAAAATCATCTATTTCTTGCATGCTATGCACAACTACAAATGCTATTGATATGGTGATCCCAACTTAGTCATGAATCAAGATAATTGCATAAGATTACACTTCTGGAAAAAAAAAAAGGGAATGGAACTTTTTTTACTTAAGCAAAGTAAATGTGTTTTGTCAACATTGAGTTTTAGTCCATTAGCTTGTGTCTGTTTTCATTGGGTACAAATACCTAGCTCAACAGATGTCGTCCAGGAGAATGATGCACTATGCTGTGAAATCATCTACATACAAAGGGAGAAAGACTACTACAAGGAAGGATGGAAGATAGGCAGCACACAGCAATAGGAGTGGGCCCAGAACTGAGCCCTTCGTCACAAGTAGTGATGACAAATGGATATTGTGGGCACACTTGCCCATTTAATTTTTTTATTTTCAACTGCTTATGAGTGATTCAGCAAGAAAGCTGGACCAAAACAGAGCACACGCATATACAAATATGCCACATACTCCAATACATTTTAGTTTTGTTAGAGGCTGATCATGAAGGAGATCAAATACTCTTGCAGAATCAAAGAGTACTGGCCTAGATGAGAGCAACTTTCTTACAACAAAAAAAAACAGAAAGCAAACACTGACTTCATAGATGAATTGAGACTTGTGAAATTCATGCTGTTAGCCATAACACGCAAATATGTTCGAATAACAAGCAACGCTCAATATAATTTTGTGTTCTCAATCATTTTTTTTTTTATGGACAGCATTGTAATGATGGCATAAGCAAGCGTTTTAGGGTCCGCCACTGCGAATAAATTATGGCGACGGTAGAGAATTGAATGCGCATGCATATGATGAATAATAATCGGTTATTCAAAAGACTCTCCACGCGATTGGCTGGGCATAACCGACGGTGAAAGAGATGTCAGTTAAAAACAGGCATACCTAATATTTGAACCCCAGTTCGAGAATCCAGCAGAAAAGGTGAAAGGTGAGGAACGTGTACTACCTGAAGTAAATTGTCCTGTACAGCTGATGGGCTTCGTAATAATCGCCAGCTTCAACACTGGCTCGTAGTTTCGCTAAAACTCGGCGCGATCCTCCGCCTCTCCCTATGGCAGCCGCCATCTTTGTTCTTCACGTTACCCGAGAGTGCAGTGGTAACGTGTTTCCAAGGTTACTTGTCGTCACCGTGGTATGGAGTCCTCATCTTCGTCGAGGAAATTCTTTTGATCGTAGAGGCAGGTCCTGCCCCTGTTTTATTTCTTTCTTTTACTTCGTTCATACGTAAGAGAAGCAGAACAGATTTTCGTGTTGTAGAAGATCATTTTCATGCATCGTGCGTCCTGCGGATTTCACATGGTGGAATGCTGTCGTGCATCAAGGAAACCAATGCGCTTGCCGGTTGACGTGTTGCACTCAATAGTCTAGCATTAACCGTGGTCCAATGTTTATTCTTCATAGCGGGAGCGAATGTCGCTGCCTTTGGGGCCACTCTGTATGCAAATAGCATGGGAATAGGGACGAATGATTAAATCGAAATCAGAGAATACTTTAAGAGCCTTCAGGAGTTAACTAAATCTTCGGGATCATGCCATACTAAAACCAACTTCCATCTTTTGAGATGATAGGTCAAAAGAACATTAGAGGGGTCCTTAAAGGTTCACTGGACACTGTCTTAAAATCTCTTTAAATTATGCACAGCTTCATGAGGATTTCCTCACCTTTTAAATTGAGTGCATCTCTAAGACTATTGCTGGTGGGTGACTCACTTGGGGCGTCTGTTGAAACTCAAAGCTAAAAAGGTTTCTCTGCCTCAAGCACAATAATCCAAAGGAACTGCTCTGAAAATAACTGTCAGTTACATATTCAAAGATGTGGAGGTCATTTTATCTGCCACTAAGTGAATGTATGTAATGGATAAAATAAATGGATTCAATGGAATGCTGCCAGGATGATTTGGAATGTTGCTCCTGAGGGTAGGTTTACTCTGGAAGCTCAATAGTCCTTTAGAGTCATGATGACTTGATTGACTGTCTTGCTGTTCTTGAATTTTACCATTTTGGGAAACTTGACCTTGATTTCTCAATCTGACCTTGCATCTATAGTTTCAGTAGCATGACTCATTATTTGTCTTGATTTTATCATGCATAAATTTGGCATGGCACTATCATATTACCAGTTGTTCAGTTACTAGTTATTTCAGGTTATATGCAAGTATATGAAATGAGATTTTCTGTTTTATTTTCAGATATTGATAGCTCTTGAGAACAGTTGAAATCATGCCAGGATTCACGGTGAAAGTGAAATGGGGTCGGGAGACCTACACAGATGTTCAGATGAATACAGATGAACCTCCTCTACTCTTCAAAGCTCAAGTCTTCGCACTGACTGGAGTGAGACCGGAGCGGCAAAAGGTCATGCTTCGTGGTGCTACGTTGAAAGATGATACGTGGGATGGCATTCCAGTGAAGGATGGGGTGACTTTCATGATGATGGGAAGCAAGGAGGAAGACATTCCATCTGCCCCAATGCAGAAAACAGTCTTCATGGAGGACATGACCGAGGCGGAGTTGGCGTCTGCCCTTGAGCTTCCTACTGGTCTGACCAATCTAGGCAACACTTGCTACATGAATGCAACTGTCCAATGTCTGAATTCTGTTCAAGAGCTTCATGAAGCTCTAAATTCCTATCAAGGAAATGTGAACGTGATGGGAGACTTTGGTCAGAATTCAGCTGATTCTATTACTGCTGCAATGAGGGATCTTTTTCAGAGCATGAAGAAATCTCCTAATGTAACCCCAATTGTCATGGTGCAAGTACTACACTTGGCTTTCCCTCATTTTGCTGAAAAGGCTCCTCAGGGGGGATTCAGGCAACAAGATGCTAATGAATGCTGGACTGAGTTGGTCCGTATGCTTCAACAGAAACTTGACATGAAGAGTGCGCTTGCAGAAAGCCGTAAAAGCTTTATTGATTGTTACTTTGGAGGAACACTGGAGTGTGAACTGAAGTGCACTGAATCTGAGGAGGAGCCTGTGACTCAATCAAAGGAGAATTTCCTTCAATTGAGTTGCTTCATCTCACAAGATGTGAAGTACATGCATTCAGGGTTGAGGTCTCGGATGCAGGAGACCATCACCAAGAATTCTCCAACCCTAGGTCGAGATGCTGTTTATACGAAGACATCCAAGATCTCTCGTCTTCCAGCATATCTCTCTATCCAGTTTGTGCGTTTCTATTACAAGGAAAAAGAAGGGATCAATGCAAAAATTTTGAAGGATATCAAATTCCCACTGGACTTGGATGTTTTTGATTTGTGCACTCCTGAACTTCAGTCTCGTCTCACTCCAATGAGAACACGGTTCAAAGAAGTGGAGGACAAAATGGCTGAAATTCCTCCAGGAAAGAAAGGAGGACCAGAAGAGGAGAAGGAAGCAAAGAAGAAAAAAAGGAAAGAGCCCTATTTTTTCCCTGATGATCCAGGATCAAATAATTCTGGCTATTATGCATTGCAAGCTGTGCTCACTCATCAAGGAAGATCCTCATCTAGTGGCCATTATCTCGCTTGGGTTCGGCGAAAGGGGGACGAATGGATGAAGTTTGATGATGATAGAGTGACACCTGTCCATTCTGAGGATGTCCTGAAGCTATCTGGAGGTGGTGATTGGCATTGTGCTTATGTTCTCTTGTATGGACCTCGAATCCTAGAAGTAGATGAGGAATGAATATGGTATTCATGTTTCTAGGATGAAATGGGTCTATTTTTTTATGAACAATCTTCATAATAATGTTGATTTTCATCTTTATATCTTGAAATATTCTGCATGCTCTCTTTTTCTATGGTTGATCTACTTTGTTGAGATTAAATTTTTCTGCTCCCGGTTCCAATGAATTAACTTAAAATTTTGGTGCAAAAGAAAAGATTTTGGTCTACTTATCCAAATGCAAAGGAACAACTGCAACACCAAGCCTTTGGTATCAAAGAAGACAGGAGAGTATCATGAAGTCTGAATTTTTTAGTTATTTGCCCATTCATGCAGTGGCTTCCACATCTGGTTAGGTAGTGACCAGTCAGCTGGTCAAAAGTAAAATCCTTTAGTTTGAAGGGAAAATATATTTACTTTGATTTTGAGTTGACTATACATTTCTCATTTTCTCATACTTAGAATTCAGCTGTGATGCACATGATTTCCAGAATGAAATTGTAGAGTTAAGACAGAAGTCATATCTAGCCATTAAGTGTAATGAAAATAGATATTATGTGGTATCTCCCAGCATCATATGCATTCTGCTGTCCAACAGCAGAGGTGTTATACCCTCTCTACTGTAAACTCTGTGCTCATTCTTAATATCTGAGACATGATATTCTCAAAAGTATCCATTGAGGAAGAACACTGAGTCATTTTTAAGGCTTTCTTTTGCAATGTTAGCAATATCAAATGTGGTTCTACAATGAAAACAGACTAAGAAAGTGGAAGTGGTTTCAATCCCTAGATGACCCAAGAGGATGAAGCAAATGTTTTTGATCATATCACTGACTTGCATCAAAGGGCCATCTCCAGGCTTGGGTATGTGCCACAGTCTGGAGAGGTAGCTTGCTGTGAATTGGAAGTCAATTGCCCCTCCTAAACACTGTACGATTTGTCTCTATTTCACTCCCTGCTTTTCATTAAAAGAAGATTCCTGAATTATAAAAAAAATTTTCTCTGCTATAAGCAGAGATAGAAGAGACAAGTGCAGATACCTGCTGTAAAAAGGTTACATTTTTGGTGAAAAACTGCTAGCCTTCCAGAAGTGAAACAAACATCATAGATTTACTTCCACATTAGAGTCCAGCCATTTGTTAACTCTTCTCATTTGATTCCTACATCTGTGCATGCATGAGCATGTCTTAATGCTTTGGAAGATTTAAAATTCTAATTTTTTACCTGTCCAGCTCACATCATTTTTACTTCCAATGTGGCCCACCACTCCAAAACTTTAGATACTTCTGGCTTGGGGATAATACTGAAAGGTGCAGTCTGCAGAAAGTAAATTTCATAGGCCCCATGAGGTGTTGGGATACAATTAAGTTCAAGAAATAAATTCGGAATGGGATGCCAATTGTGAAATCGATGCAGATCCACTGATGATACTTTAATGCTAAAAAAAATTCACGTCTCAATTGTTCGAGGTACTACGAGCCACTAAAACGTTGACTGCCTTGCCCTCGGCCGGGCCTTCACGCGCATGCGTGATGCTTGCACGCATGCACCTTCCTGCGACGCGGACGATTCAAAGCAACTACTACGAGTCTCTCTTCTTCGATGAGAAAATTTCTAAACCAGAACGACGTACGTGTTTGTTATTTCTCCGCTTGCAATAGCCCTTTCTTTCGGTTTTTATACAATACCTTATTTAATTTCACGTACATACCGTCATAACGAGGTGGACGTGGAACTCGTCCGTCCGGAAATACAGAAATGAATGAGGAAAAAAAAAGTGGGGGACAGCTTCTTCCTGTCTCCATTCGCACGACTATCTCTGCGGCAGGCCCAGGGATATCGCTGGATTGGAATGCGTGAGACTGCATGGTATGTAGGCCCGAATGCACAAGCCTCATTTAGGGAAGATAAAAGGGGCGTTTAAGTTTATGAGCTCTATTTCCCCCCTGGAATCCATGTACTCTTAGGATCGTTAAATAAAGGATTTCAGCGTTTGGGCTCTCCAAGTAGCTCACTCCATGAAAAGACTATGCGGGTATCTGAAGCGTGTGAAGCAAGCAAAGGGCGTTAGACAATGGTATGTCCGTAAGGCAGCGTTCATCGTGTCAGGGAATCGATGGTGTCAACGATACGAAACACGTTGAACGGCGATATTTCGGATCAATAATATTCGGTGCATCCCGCGCCTCCTCCCCCTCAAACTTCCCTAATTTTGAGGGAGTTCCGTCATATTCAAATGAGATTCACGAACTTAGAAGACCCAGGTATGAGAGACCTATTCCATTTCGGTCATTTCCATCTTTCATTCCCACGAGCCAACATCCGTCCACACCTCGAGTTCTGAAGCTTAGAGGTGTAAGCGGGCCGCGGTTCGGCCCGACGCGATCCGCGGTTCGAATGCTCGATCGGCCATCGATTTTCGGGTCGATTCGGCCTCGATTCGAATCGGGCCGATCGGGCCTGGTTTGGGAAAGTCGATCCGTCTTGGTCTCTGGTGGACAGACAGATAAACGTCAGATATTATTACTGCATGATTATAATGTAGATAGTACTACGCTAGTCCTGCATTTCTCAGGAATCTCCTGACGTGTCCGTGCATAGAAGACGTGGCGTTCGTACTGGTTGGAATACTTGGATTCCATCGACATACCTCTTACTCCGGGATATGACCATTCAACTGCTCGTCAAAATGTCTCGATTAAAGGGAAGGGGAAGGAGCAATCTTTCCAAAAAGTTTTTTTTTTTTGCGAAAACGACGGGAAAATGAAAAAAGGTCTGAAAATCACAGCACATGTGCGCGTACACTCCGCTAATAATCCAGTAGTCACGTCTTTCGTGACGTCACGAAAGCTGTAAGTAGAGACTGTCGTCTGCTGGAAGGCAGTCGAGTCACGGCACAGCCGTACTACCGCCCGATTTTGTCCGAGATTACTGTGATCTCTCGTGAGTGACAGAGGCTGAGATATCGAGATGTCGTGAGATACCGCTTGATGTCGTCGATGATTGAATCGATGGAATTTTCGAGAAAATTTATAAGAAGGATGTTCGTGGACGGCTGCTCCACCTGTCCTAAGGATGGATGGGTGATGATCCACAAAACGTCCGAGTTAGTGCGAAGTTAACGGGCTGGAATTTTTTTTTTTTCACTCAGGTAAGTCGATGCTAGAATAGAGGTGGAGGATAGAGGAAGGCCTTCGCAACAGAAACACGACATGCATGAAGTGCGGATTAAAGGGAAGGGAAGGGGGGGGGGGCTATGATTATATTCTACTGCAGAGTCACTTGCGAGAGCTGTCATGGGGATCAATGAGAGGCAAGGATAATTGGTAAGTGGGCCCACCGCTTTCCCCTCCCCTCTCACCCACTCCTTCGCTTCAACCTTGTGAGCTCAGCACTCGTTCCTCCTTTGGGGAGAAAGGAACGTGGAACCCCCTTAGACCCCAAATGTGGGTCCTTGGTTACGCCACCGTGCAACCGAGATGAAAGCGAGGGTGAACGGTCGTTGGGGTGAGGCCCGGCCACTTGGCCAAAACTCTTGACACGTTACTGCTGGGAAATCGAAGGAAGAAGGGAGCGGGGGGGGGGGGGGGAACCAGATATAAGTGTTGCATGAGACGAGACTGGAAAAAGCCTCGTCTTATGCTAAGTCTATGGCAGAATAAGTTGCTTCACGGGGCAGTGTTTCACGACTACATCAGCTTTGTGTTTCAAGTTTCTTCACTGCAAATTAATCTGTAAGGATTGGGCCGTGTTTTACTTGGAAAGTTTTTGGATTAAATGCACGTTTTCTTGAAATTAGTGAATTGGCGCAAATTTCTATTATTAAAAATAGGTTTTCGCTTCTTGAAAGGATAATTGAAAATCTAAGACAGACAGAACAGTCAGGTCAGGTACTTCCCCTCCAAAGATCGCCTCCATTCATGAAGGCATGGGGACGCGAAACTAATTTTCGATGCAGTCTAGGGGAGGATGCCTTTCACGAAAATTTTATTTGAACGAAGTTCTTTACTTTCATGTATGAACAAACGGTTGAACCATGTTGCAAGCGAATTGTAACCTTAAATTCTTTTTCAAACGAGCAGCCCTAATGGGGCACTCATTATTGCAGCAAATCATAGGTAACACAATCAATTGGTACACGATCCATTTTATTTCCAGTCCGTAACAATAACTTTCCTAGGATTCACTTTTCACTCTCATTCTGACAGCACAACACAATTATTCCCATGTTCACCCCCAGAATGACAGTGATGAGATTACTGCATAAATTAAGTCTTTCACCTGCAGATGAAACCCATATAGTACTTCCTCTGACAGGAAAGAGAAAGTACTTTGAATCCTCCTTCAGCACTATTGGACAGCATCTTTATAGCTTTTCTTTTTTGATTGTGAGCTGGAATATTGTACCCAGTATAAACAGTATAAAACTTACTGAATTCATGGGAACCGATGAGTTAAAAAAAAAAGTTACTTATCACTTTTATTAATGTTATTGGTCTGGCAGAAGGCTCTCAGGTATCTGCTGATGCTTGTGAATCAGGATAACCTAAGATTAATTAAGAAAGGTCAAAGGATTGCTGGTGCTGGAAAATTAATGAACAGGAGACATGCAAGAATGACAACCTTCAGTAGCAGACAGAGGATAACAAGAATACACCATTAACATAGGAAATCCTCATCTAAAAACATGAAATCAAAATTACAAAATACAGTATTGCAATAGATCCAAACTTTTATACAAGTTCGAAGGAAGAAACAAATCCAATCATGGGGTGTTCTTCCACTTCGCAGGAATCCAACCAGGCCTTCATGGCAAAATATCATCACAAAAAGTGAAAATGAATCACAAAAACATCACATGTAAGCATATTACAATGCCAGCAAGCAGACGTTCCATTTAGTCAGAATCTGAATCTTGATCGCCCTGCCTCTCTTGTGGTTTAAAATTTTGAGGAAGATGCTCCTGCAGTTCCAAGACATGCTCAATTCGATGTGGCCTTCCATCTTCCCCAACTCTCATGGGCTGAATGACCCCCTCTCGGTTCATTTTATCCAGGAGATTAACCAGTTTCATGGCTTCATATTCCTTCTGCTCATCAGTCATCTTCTCCATGGGATTCTCGTGCGGTTCCTCATAGCAGCCCGTGATGGGGTTGATCTGATCTTGGGCTTCTAAATACTCCTCCGTGTCGCTGTCTTCCTCTTCCGATGAGTAATCACTCACCATACCGTTTCCTCCCAGCATGAGTCCTTTAGCAGCTAGCATTCCAGCAGAGTTCCCATAACCAGCATACTTCACCAGCCTTGCCACTCTCTCCTTGCAGAGAACAAAAAGAAGTTCAGCAGCCAGGTCCTTCACACCTGTGTGAGGGGAAGTGAGGAGTCTGCAAAGTTTCCCACGGATCGTGTTCCCTTCCTCGGGTCTGTGCATGACGTCCCTCAGAGGCGGCAGAATTTCCTTTCTCAAATACTTACGAGCATAACGATTGGCCCTACAGACACGGATGAGTGCTTTCAATGCAGGGCAGACAGCTTCGGCCAGTGGTTTAGAACACTGGGGGTTTTCTAGCCTTCCATCTAAGAAAGCAAGGAGAGCATGAATGGCAGACACATTGATTCCATCATATTCAATGGTGGTCTTTTCCTTGGCATTTTTTGGCATAGGGGTGGTGAGGACTTGGAATGATTCACCATCTAGTACGGTCAACAAATTCACAACATTGCTTACTGTCTCCTCTTTTTTGTCCCCAGTGGACAATAGTAATTTCCTCAATGATTCCACCAGTGTTTTACTCTGTCTTTTTTCATCTTCTTCAGTTAAGTCCTTGACACTACAAACATTGAACAAGACCTTGAGTATCTCACAGCATAAATCAGAATCCTGCACAGTGAGGACAAGGGGCTTGCTGGATTCCTTGTCACAGCCAGCCACTCTCTGCAGCCCTCCACCAATGATGCTGATCCCATTGCAGTAGTCTCTCACATAGGTACGCATTGCAAAGCTGACTGCTGTGACGATGAAAAGCAACTTCACATCAAAAAACTTCACATCATAGGGAATCTCTGCACTCGACCACATCTTGAGACGTGCAATGAGGTTCTGTGCATATTCTTCAGTGCATAAAGCTTCCTTGGTCCTGTCACTATGAAATGTCAAGTTACACAGACATTTCTGTGCTTCTATTATAGTGGCACTGTCACCTTGCTTACATGCCTTTAGCAAATAAGACCCAGAACTTTCCTTGAGAAATGAAAGGTCAAGTAGAACTGCAATCATTTCAGGCTGAAGGGCAGAGTCAAGGCCTGCACGCTCTCGGCTCAGAATGCGTACTACCTCCAAGCATTGCTTCCGAAGTCCGCTCTTCTCGTTGTCTTGAAGGAGCTTCTGTAGCAATGACCAAAACTTCACTCTCAAGTTTCCCTCTGAAAGTTCAGGGAAAGTAAATTTACTCCCATACTCTTCTGTGAATGTGGTGAGTAGTTCTTTGGCCTCCAGCTCAGAAGAACCCTCCAATTTCTCCAGATACTTCTCCATCATCTCCTAAATAATGAGGAGCGATAAGAATATCTGAGAGACATCAATACAGTACTATGGTGTTGTTCCTGAAGTTAGTGCCCAAGCATCCCCCACTGTTCTCATAATCTTAATTTGTGGAAATATGTGCATGAGCAATAACCACTTGGGGCCGCAAAAGATATGTCAAAATCTTCCTAAATATACATGGTACCTTAAAAAGCTATATCTGAAGAAAAGCCTGTCTTCATTTCATTTCTGGGCTTGCAATAATGGCATATGAGTGTTGGATATGTTTGAAAGCATTGAATGGAGCATTCCAGTGGATACTGTCAGCAAAAATGATCTGCTTAGTACAGAGCAGTTTGAAGCAAAGGCATCTTACATAGAAGAGATGCCTAGTATAAATGACTGAATAAGAGGACTAAAGAAATAATTTTTTGCTTCCCAACATTATAGCACCATCATTCATAGCATAACTTTGAGATGAAGCCTTTCAAAATGCAATTCCATCCTGCAGTCTAATTGAAAAGTTTTGCAATTAAACACAAATGAATGATTATTATCCTTTATAAGATATTGTTAGGTAAATATTAAATTAAAGCTGGGACATGAATTAAACAAACAGGATAAAGGGCTTTCTTTTTTATCATGGCATACTGAGGCAGCTTCTAATTTGTCTTCCCTCAAACTAGGAGATCTCTGATCCTATTGGGAGGTTTTGTGAGTAGCTCAAATGTGGCATAGGTCCAGAGCTTTGGAACCCACCTCTTTCTCTGGTTTCAGATCATACGAGGGTCACCCCAAAAGTAATGCTCCTGATTTTTTTCTGAGTAATGTTTAATTGCAATTGAAATTGACGGTTCGCCAGCATTGACTCTATTGTTTTCCATCGCTACTGAGCGAAGTTGGAGTGGAGACATGACATATCCCCACGCCCGAAAAAAAAATCAAGACCCAGGCATCGACACGCTGGCACAAATGTGTGGAACGTAATGGGAACTATTTGGGAAAATAAGTCAACAGAAATTTTAACACGTGTCATTGCTAACTATTACTGTGTACTTGCGTTCAATTGTGATAAATAATTTGCCAGAAAAAAAATCGGGAGCATTACTTTTGGGGTGACCCTCGTAAAACTCAAACCATTTCCACATCAAACTCATTATATCTAGTTACATTCTTTACAACTTATATTTTACAACTTGCCCACTTTACATCTAATCAAGATTCTGCAAATGTGAGTTTAGGTATAAGCTTTACTAAGTTGCCTAGGCTTACTACATATCAAGATATACCTACCTGCACCTTTTTTCCAATCTCTTTGTAGGTGCAAAATGAAAATGAAAGTTCAATCAACGCCTCTTCTTCTTCTCTTGCTTCTTTCTGTGATGTAAGTGACCTCGGTAGTTTCCATGGATGTGAGGACTTCCATGTTCTGAAGCATCATCGTCACTGGACTCTTGATCCTGCAAATGAAAACATCATTCATGATTACCTTGTTTGTTACCCACCACTAAAAGGCACAGGTCTAGGCCTTAACAGAGTAAGAAACCTCTGCAGCTCACAATAGGCAGCAATAACTAATTACTATGAAGTGATGGAAAAAGATATCATCAATGGCACCTACTTCTTTATGTTTCTTCATTAGGGATCCATGGATCATACATGAAAAGCTGGCAAAGGCATTCCCAGAAAACATTATTTCTCATGTTAATGTATTTTTATTTATTTATTTAAAAACTATATCTTGATGAATGATGCTATATGATGCAGCAGTGAAGGAGCAAGGATGTTTGAAAATTAGGGATGAAAAATAGAAATGGAAGGAAGTAATGTTATAATATAATATACCTACAAATGATATACAATACACTCAAACTCAAAACAGATGAGAGACTTCAACATTGGACAATATATTAACTTTGGGATGAAATGATATTTCTGAGATGATTGGCTGACATCAGGGACATGACATTTAAAGCTAAATTGTGTTCTTCTATGTTAGTTACAGAGAGTGTTAGGCCCAAGATTCAGAAGGAGCAGAAAACATGGTGGAAGATACCAGTGTTAAAAGATAAAACAAACAAGACTCCTTTATCTTCACCCTCTCTCCTCCTGGAATTGTTTACCAAGTGGTCCATTTAACAGGGAATGCCCTGTCAATAAAAAAAAAATGGATGACCTTGAGTAAAGGTGGGGGAAGGGGGGGAATCTAAAACAGATGCAAAAATATTTTATGTGTCATGTTTAGTCACTCAAAAACAGGTTAGGAAGAAGGGAGAAGTCTTTGCCCAAAATTGTCTGTATCTATAAATCTAGCAGATATATATTGTACCCTGTACAACATATGCCAGATTTATATCAGGCAGATAAGAAAATGTTTAATGCATATCGTTCAAGGTCATGTTCTGCATCAGTGAAGATAAAAAAATATATATATAAAATTTTAAATCTATTCTATTCTTACTTTCCCTAAAAACGTAAGGGATGAGGGAAGGACCTGGTCTTGACCATCAACAACTTGAAGGTCTCTAAGGAGACCAAGCAAGATGGGAGACCCATTGTTGCACTGGTAATATTTACAATTTTAAGCATACTATTTTTACTTATAACAGGCACCAGAGCTTTCCCAGTGGCACCAGGATGTCAATGCAGCACACACTCTCCATATATTCTTTTCTCCTTCTCCTTGAGCTTGTTGAAATAAGGCAACTATTTCCAGAATTCTCAGGAGCAATGAAAATGGAAGAATGTGAATGAAATCAAGAAAAGCAATAACAGACTTGCTCCTGGAAGGATATTGACTTTTGGTTAAAGCGAAAGAAAGAATGCTTGTGATTGACTTACATGCAACAGTAGCTATACTGCCATTATATATTTCTTGCCCACAAACTCATGCATGATGCTTTCTGTATTTCAGTGATTGCTCTCAGTCATGTCACAATAAGCATGACTCCTGAACCATTTAAAAAACAATAGTGATTCCTTAATTCAGGAATCCCAGCACTCTGCCTCTTGAGCAATGAGGAGAAAAAGCTCATTAAGAGAGGTGATAATTATCTATACTTCTGGAATTTCAGGCATCCAATTCATAAGTACAGGATTATGAGATGTCAAAACAAGGAAAATCTGGCATAGGGATTGTTCCATTGAGACTGTGATAATTAGGTAGAATTTTACATGCCTAACAAAACATTTCCACACAGGAAAGGTTAAGGCAGGGTCTTTTAGACTATATTATCTAGGATCTTAACCCAGTAACTCTCACCCATCTGTGACCACCAATTCAGCACAGCATATCATCACTAAAGGATTGTGTGGCCCTAAAATTACTTCCAGTGAAAACAGTGCCAGATGCACTGGTGGCTGTTTGGCAGCCAGTGCATCATGAGGTATGGGTTCTGACCAATTACACCTGACTTATTGAACTTGCTGTCCAGGAGACAAACTGAATGTACATGTAAGTTTCACAAACTAAACAGAAACACCACCCATGAGAAAAGGTACACCTTTTCTCAAGAAATATATTATCTTGCATAGTTCAAATCTGTTGAAGTAAACAATAATAAATGAGATGAGCAAGTCTCATGGTCTGTGTAGGATTCCAGACTCCATTACCAGGATATGAGAAAAGTTGCATGGGATGAGCTGTCAGTGAGATGGCACATTACATTCCAAGTGGGTTTTTCATGCTGAGTCATGCTGGAAAATGTGAAAGTGCTTCAAATGACTGTGAAGGATTCTCCAGCCTTTTAAGCCTTTCATGCCTTTCATGGACAAAATTTAGCACATTTTCTTTTTCCACTAATGAAGGCTTTCATTTTGAAATTTCCATACTATATATTCATGAATATTACTGACTAGAGCTAACCTATCTTACAAATAGTCTCAAAAGGAAATAGAGGAAATATTTTTTGCATATCTTACCCAATTTTCCCCCATAATTATAATGAAATACTTTGCTTCTTGCAAGTGTTGCCTGAACAGGTCGTATGCCTACATTCCTGTTCTAAAATTACTATGGCTTCCCTTCAGGCCTCATGGGCACCGGGTAAAATTTTCAGAGTTATCTTTGTCGCCAGTAGACGAAACGAGCGTGATGTAGTGGAAGGAAGCCTTCCCAGGACACAGGGAGGGTAACAACTTTCTGGGAAGAATACTTCTCCCTGCCCACGAAAGGGTTAAACATAATCTGGTCGGGATTTTGCCAAGTAGCTTTGAAGAGATGATACTTATATTTTTTCTCGCATGTAGAATTCATCACCGACCAAGGTTTCTTATTTTCCAATTATTTTGGTAGAGAGAGACTGAGTCCGGCCCAGTGCGGATGAACTTCGAAAGCCTTACCGCTCGAGACAGGGCATTCCACGGGGTTGCAAAGAGACCATGCAGGATGCTTTCAATGGCATCCAACGAATGCATACACTTTTTATTCGCGAAGGACGCACAATATACCTATATAATCGAGATTGGGCGATATTGCCTTTGTCGTGCAAACCTATATACTGTCGTCAACTATTAACTTACTGTCCATATCGACACGCCGTTCAGTACTGTTATCAGAGTCTCGGACAGCCTGTAGGGAAACGCAGGGAAATTAAGCCATGCCCATCCACCTGATCCCAATGAGAGGAGCAAAGGGACTTCTCGCGGAAACGAAGAATCCTTTCAAAGCTCTAAAAATAATAAAAATACGTAGCCCCAAAAGGCAAATGCCTGCAAATTTCGAAATCGAAGGGTCATCGATACCGAGCAGGATGAGCACGGAACCTCGCTCGTGATCGTGTGCAGGCCACCGACCGCACCCGAGTCCGTGAACTCGACCGGGGAGTCAGCCCCGGGTCGTACGCGCGATTGTGCGCTATCATGCGAGTGCAGAGAGTCTGCGCGACCCGAGTTCCAGCCGGGCTGTTACCGGGCTGCAACCGAGGGCGAGGAGACTCCTTTTCGGTCTGCGAATTACGAGAGATAGCTCATTTCGTATGACGAATCTCGGCAACTAGTGGGGAAAAACGGGGGCTCTGACGCATCTCGATTCAATTTCAATGTCACCGTTGTGGACAGGAGTTACGAGAACCTCCTATGCTAATAATCACGTCCGGTTCGGTAAAGTTTTCAAGGTCAGCCTGCCTCTAACGCTTGACGGAGAAACGATATCCAAAATGGAAAACTGTCGACTCCCACGGGAAACTAGCTTTCTAGGCAAATAACCGGCAGCAAAAAAATAAGGAGGAAACTTAGATTCCAGAAAGCAGAGATATATTCCCGTTTCCTCTCCTTTTGACAGACGGGCGTTCGAGAGAGGGGATTCTCCGAAATCTATTTTGTACCTTTTCCCGGAATACCATAAATAGAGGCGTAGAATCGGTATCTCAATCGATAACGAATCGAGGAGATCTCTGGAAAAAGGGCGTAAGTGCCCATCCGCCCTTTTTTCATATCCACATCCATGCGCTACTTACAATGACTTGTCATAGGATAGGGTGGTCAGCAGGTGGTTAAGATGCATATTCTGTAAAGGAGAAGCTGATTTCCTTATGCTCTCACTATTTAACAGGTCAACTGCTTTGCAATTTCAATATGGATGAATTAGCACCAGCATTGCTGAACGATTCGGTGGAAAATTTTCCTCCTTTCCAAACTTTCCAAGTTGGTAACATCCATGAAGCAATCGAAGATCCAGACGATGAATAAATGAAAACCGGATCAGACTAGGAAAACCTTTGCGAACCTCCGAACGAGGTTCGCGGGAACGGAGACGCGAGGGCGGGCGGTTCGCTTAGTCCGCTTGCATATTCTTCCCGGGGAATTCCAATTTGTCACCTCAGGTTCGCGGGAAAAAAATTAATGTTTTTCCTACACTACTGATGAGTAATTGGCGAATGAAACTTGTCCTGGATTTTTTATATATATTTTTAGGCTTTGCGGAAGATTTTATTTTAAAACTGAATGTCTTTTTTTTGGCTAATTATCATTTTTAACTGGAAAGAAGCGGTGAAAGACTGGTTGGAAAAAGTTGCAGCAGCGTGGATATGGAAAAATGTGCATAAACACTTTATGCTTGCATTCCAGCAATGTGCGATAAATAAACTCATTAAACCGCCAAGTTCACTTGGGATGAGGTCTAAGATATCATTTGACTGAAAACCGAGTCTTGACTAGCCTCAGATTAACTCGGATAAGTTTTTGCCGCTTATCTCGAATTTTATCATGATCGCGATTTAAAACCACACGAAACGTGAAAATGTCCTCTGAACACATCCTTGAAAAAAAAAGTAATCCCAGAAATCACTAGACTTTTGTTCCTCGTTATCTACATGGAACTAACCCACTCCCCCACTCCACAAGATAAACGAATATCGCAATATCCCGAGCGACGATTGGGGAAATGGAAATCTGTATCGACTGACATTTTTTCTTCCCAGTTCATTCAACCTCCGAGATCTTATCGGTCAGGGTTAGTTGGCGTCATCGCCCATCATCGGTCCATCCCAGGAGACAAAACCGATCAGGGGCAATCTTGAGCAGAGAGGAGAATAGTAACGGAGCCGGCAATTCCCCCACCCATATAGCAACTCGATATATTCAATATAGAGATATTGCAATTGGCAATATTGCCTGGGCTAATTGGGCTTTACACGGTACGAAACACTTGAGACGCGGCTGACATTTTGACTGTTTTTTGATGAAAGGAGAGAAACTGACCAACTCCTCTAGTGAGCTAGTTGCACAAGGGCGTTTGTCACCTCGAGCAACATACATCTCAGAAAAATGAAGATGATTTTGTCATTTAGAGAGGCACCAATTTGGTGGCATCTAAATGAGTCTATGCATGGACTGAATATGAAATGCTGTGAGACATTTACTCAAGGGGGGGAAAATAAGAGTCTATTCTGCATACTGGACTTAAGGATGGGCTTCTCAAAGCCTTCTTTCAAGCAAAAATCTTGCTCCCAATCCTGCAGATTGGCAGGGGACATGACACCTAATCTCTCTCAGAAAACTTGATCCCAAATCTCCAGGTCAATGCTAGAAACATGTGTCATGGAAAATGTCAACCACCCTTCATGATTAATGATTAAAACTCCCAACCACTGCAACGAAGAGGATGTCCTGGCCTACACGCAACTGCACAATCTGGAGATCTCTGCAACTCTGATGATGAAATCAACAATCCTGGCCACAATAGCAAGGCGAAGAAAATTGGAGGGAAACAGAATTCTAACCTAAGGCAACAATGCAATGAAGCTGATTTTGAATAAAGAGGATTAAATTACTGGCTAAAGATTGGCAGGCAATTCAGCACATGGAAAAGGAAGAAAGAGAATACAGTTTGAGCAGAGAAGCTTGGGCATCAATCTTGGGGAGCTAGAAGAATCTTCCAGGAATGAATGCCAGAGTCTGGCAAACCTCATCTTCAACCTTATTTCTTTCTTCTTCTTTTGAGCACCTTATTAGCAGAAGGATAGGGGATGGAATAAGCCAGGAAGCAGTCAAATGCGTGTGAAATGCCATGTCACAAAAGGGGATGTTAAGAGGAGGAAAGGAAATGAAAAGGTCACTACAAGAGCTCTTACAACATTTATTATTTTCTTCCTTAAATGAAAAGTGACACTACCCAGGCAGTACAGTCACCAACATCATGCAAGTAAGAGTAAGTAATATATCTGAAACACAAGCCTGGGCTGGGTGCTTTAGGCAAAATATACTTTCAAGTTTGATTGAGCATCCACTGTTTGACAAGATAAGCAGATGTTCAAGTGGGAAAGTTCTCAAAATGGGGAGAAAATTATTTTAAATGTCAGCTGGGAAGGGGAGTGGAAGTTTGTATGTCAGAACTAAATCTGCTACAGATATGCATCTAACTGGGAAAAAAGTGGTACTGGGGCTAAAGATACCTTTTTCCCTGATAATTAGAAAACTGGAAGCACTTGCCACCCGTCTCCCTCTGTTCTGATACCTTTGCAAGCAAACTCTTTTCTTCAATTCACTTCATGCATGAGGCAGAGGAGGAGAGGGGACTCTAGATTTGAAGTGAGGCAATAAGGGATATAGAACCTTCCTCACTTTCTAAAGTTATAACTTAATTGGTAGGAATGAACAAATAAATCAAACTCTAAGAGATTCATCCAGCTCAATCCCTTAGATAAATAGGCCACAGTTAGAGCCTGTGACCCAATGGGTCACAGAAAATTCGAATTTCTGAAATGGTTTGAATAAATCAACATTGAAATTACAACAAATGATGGCTACTTTCCTCTTGACAATACTGCAAGAATCTGATTTAGTCAACTGAGTGCAGTGAAGTCCATTAGGTGTCCAAGGCCTAAAAGACCTAGATGATTTCATTAAGAGTAGTATCTTTAGCAGAGACTCTTTTAGCATTAAACTCCTATGAATTTCAATGGCACACAAAGAACAATTTGGGCAACATGCATTAAGTCCAATCAACTTTGATTCAGCTTAATCAGAGGACCCTGTAATAATATATTAAGGTTAGCTGATTCATTCAAATTTATTTTTTGTGCATCTTGTCCATTGTAAAAAGTCTCAAGTTCATAAGTCCTACTTAGAAGGCCCATGCCTTATCCTTCACTCTTGCTAAATTAACAATATCAAGGGATACTGGTGTAATTGGGAAGGCAAAACCAAAGTGTATGCCTCGCTCAAAAATAAGACATATTCAGCCCGAGTCTGTGCATCTCCACCTCCATGCCAAACGGTTTAAGAAGGTAGAAAGCTGGAGAATGGTTTATACGCATGGGGTTTACGTCTACTTACTGCCGACAATGTCAAAATTAAGGCCACATGATAAGCTAAAATGCAAACCCACCGTTTTCTGATTGTTAAGAGGGAGAAAAATCACTGCGCCAATACAGAACAGCTGAAAAATGGCCCCCACGAACAATCCATACTTCAAAACCTCATCAAGTATAGTGGGCTCCGGTGCCAATTCCATCTTGGGAATGATCGCGTTCCAGCCGCGGCACTAATGCATAGCAGCGCCATGCGATCGGGTGAGAAAATAATCGCCAGAGACATCTGCCGGGTCGCACAGGAGCTATGACAGAAATGCTTTATGCTGCTTTTTACTGTGTTTCAACGATTGGGGCATCCCTTTTATTGAAAATCGAAAGCAGAAAATTTCGGGAACTCAGTCGTGAAAACTAAATGTTTCAAAACTGGAGAAAACTTGCGAGGCTTGCTTTAAAGAGTCGGAACAAGGACCCAGAAGTCGGTGATGACGAGGTCCTACGTCACGGCGACCAGGGAGGGGTAGAGAAGATGTCGGCCGCCATGTTATGCGAGTATTGACCACCATCCAGACTTCCCGCGTCCCTTCTTCTCATACTTTCGTGGGTTTTATTTGTTCTTAGTGGCTTTTGATTGTTCCGAGCTTACATCAACCTCAGGCTGAAATTTCATGGTCAATGTACTCTACTGGAGAGAGGTTCCTTGAGGTTGTGTTGGCGAGATTTTGGAGACTGCGTCCTAGCCAAGCATCGATGATTCCGAAGTCTGCAGCGCCATTAATTAGGCTAAGAATTTGCTATTTGAATCCATAGAGATGCGCTTTAGGACTGTTTATTATACCCTTGCACTTGAACAGAGGGCTCTCGAGTGAACATTTGCTCTTTAGCCTCTATGATGTAGTGCAAGATCAAAGTTTTTCTTCATTGATTTCATATTTTGTATCCTAATCTAATGTTTACCTTGTTCATTGGTTGAGCCATAAGCCCCTGCTACCTAAGTTTGGACTTGGGGTTATAACTCACCAAACATTTTTAAATCACACCACGGGGTCATTTTATAATGTTCCAGTTCTTGTGGGTGGGTCATATGCATCTGGGCAAGACTTGATATGCAGTGTCCTTACTGTAAAACTGACATTTCCCAAGTTTTTTCAGTGGTGGTACACATGCTTAATGAGAGATGACTTGGCCTTATGATTTAAGCTGAGATGCATGACCTTGGGGCATTGAATTCTGGTTATTACTGAGTAACATAGGACCCTTTGAGCAAATTTAATTTAATCCCAGGAATTACACTTGTATATGCTAGACCCAATCGAAAATTACACTTTTTCCAAACATTTTTGGCTGGTGTAGCCACCCAGCCCAGCTGCCTTGTTCTATAAGTAGATCTTCTGTTTGTTATCCTCTTATTTATTTAACTCATTGGCAGATCCATTGATTGGATTAGGCAAATGTTATAATTGAACTGGTTAATTTTTTTTGCTATCAAAACCAATTTTCCATTATAGATTCCTTCTGTAAAATCAGCAATAAGAGAAACCAATAAAAATAAAAGGGAAAATTATAGAACCAGTCACTCCAGTGTTGCTCCTTCATTAGAAGGAATTTAAAGTGACTGTAATTGTATTATAGTGATTCTCTGATTTGTATGTCTTCACAGAAAAGAGAGAAAGATGAAGAAGGACCAAAGTCCTTGGCCTCTGTGTGCAATGCCTTGTGAGACTTGGAAAGAATATGTTTGAGGCTTGTGTGGATTTTAGCCCTAGTGCTATGTGAGGTTGACATGAAATGCTACAGGTAATGTATCAATATTCATGGGTGTGTGGAAGCAAACTCTTGTGCTTCATCAATCCCGTGTAGGACGCCTTTGCTCTTCATGAATGTGAGTTTCTTATTTCTGCTGAGTTACATAAAAGTATAATTAAGAGATCCATAACTCTTCATTGCTCAGTTTCTTTAGAGTTAGCTAAAATTGTGATAGCATCTCTCTATAGAATATTTATTCAGCTTTTTTCTGGAGTCAACTGATTTGAGGTGCATGCCATAGTTTTCATGGAGTTGCTTAAAGTTTATTAGAGTGTGCTTGAAAGAAAGGTTCTCTTAGGTTAGTTTGGGTTGAGTGAAAACTGAAAAGAGCTGATGAAATGTAGTCTGAGTATTGAGCCCCCAAACGATTTCGTTATTCAGTGGAATATATGGAATACAATATTGGTGCTTACTGTTCTGTTGAAAGGTGCTATACCACTATGTCCCAGTTATGGTGTACAACTTTACACCTTCACTGGTACCACTCTTTTCAGCAAAATATATATGAAACAATACCAGTATGATGTTTAGCTTTTATTTACTTATAATTATAGACTTCATTTAGGTCTTAAATTACATCAGGTATAGTACTATTGATTTATATGCTTTAACTCCTCATCCTATTCTGTCATGAAGCTGCCACTGGCATCAGTTTGGTTTCAGACCATAGAGTGAGAAAGCCAACCAATTTTGGGGAATGATTTGGTGTTAAAAAGGGTTGCAGGTTTTGGCTGTGATTCCTTTATAACCCAACTAACATTTGGGGTGGGAATGGGTCACAGCCTTTGGCTATGATTATTTTCTAACCCAAAATAGTTATGTTTTCTCATTCTTTTGGCCCAAGCATATAAGGAATGAGGGTCATTTGGTCTGTGTGTATCATTTTTTCTCTGAGGTTAGTTAGTTTGGGTTGAGTGAAAACTGAAAAGAGCTAATGAAATGTAGTCTTAAGTATTGAGCCCCCAAACAATTTTGTTATTCAGTTAAGTATATGAAGAAAATATTGGTGCTTACTGTTCCAATAAAAATGGGCATTCTCAATGGTTTGAAGTTGAACACTCTCCCCCAATGTCTCTTAAATGTCTTGAATGGATTGAGTGATCAGTGTGCATTTAACATGCCTCAATTAGGAGAAAATATTACATGTAAGGAGCATTGTTGCAAAGGACGAGTCTCAATAGAAAAATAAGGAATTTTGTAGTTGAATGGGTTATGGGGGTTCAAAGGTGAAAAGCTATGACTTGGTCACTTTGGTGTGAAACATCTGCAGCATTGCTTTTGTGAACATGTTTTTTCAATGGACTCTCACATGATTAGACCATTGCCAATTTCTTGAAGATATTCAAGAAACCAGCTAAAATTTGAAACTTGAACCTTCCAGACTTTCCTGAAGTCAAGTGTGTTACAGCAGGCTTAAATCAGTGTCACTGCTTCACATGCATCAAAACCTTTTCACTTTGCAACTTAATTGTACTGGATTACCAAAAATGTCCTGCCAACAAATTATGTGCAAAAAATTATGTGTGAGTTGTTCCCTTACATGGTCTCTGTGCATCAGAAACTGCTCAGTGTCAATCAGCAACAATGAGTTCTCTTTCCAGAACCATCATGGGGGAAAGTTTCAAGTGATTGAATGTTCTTAAATTCTATCTCATATGGTCAGAAGAATGCCACTTACCCTGTTATTCCCATGGTACATGTCTCTATGAAAAGGTGCTTTTATTTTGGGGCAATTCTTGGAAGAAATCAAGCAGGAAATCCTCCTTTGCCTTTGTCTGAAATCTAGACTTTGAAAGTGCCACTAGAGCTGTGGGAAATGTGTTAACAAGATGGAAATGATGGCTTGGATTTCACCTGAGTATGTCTTAAAGCTTCTTCTATGTAATATTATCAAGTGCTACCTCTGACGCACACCCTATAAAAGCTTGAAAACTTTGGCTTGGATTGTAAATCTCTCAACAGCAGTAGAAAGCTAAAAACATTTTCTATAAGGAAGCACTACTTCAATTTTAGTTAACTCTTAAGAAGCTGCTGTGAGATGTGACAGATATCCTGAGTTATTTTATTTGTTACCCTTGTAATACCTTATGTGAGTAATCCATACATTGAATGTTGTGTGGCAACAAATGCCTTCTATTCCTATTAAATGCCTATTCTTCCAAATGTACTTATAATATGGAAATTGAATGCATGATTGCTTACATTTAGCCATTACTGCATACATCACAGTATGTGGTTAATTCAAGTAATAGACATTTAATTTTCATCACATTAGCATGAGCACCTTGTTATGCTTAAGGTTTTTAAGTAAGCCTATGAACTATGATCCTTATCCCTCCTGAGATTTTTCACCATCTCATTCTGTTGAAGAACTTTGGGAAAGTGTTTATATAATAGACATCTATGCCATTGTCATACCATCTGATACCAAAATCTGTCACAATTTGCTTTTGGTGGCATTTGTAGAAGTTTTTGGCATAGCAGTTTATCATCAGATTGAGTTGGGGAGTGCTAGAAAACATCATTTTCAGGGATTCAGATATTGGCAACATGATGAAACCTTTATACTTCATAATAAAACCTGCTTTGGTTAGTGCAATTGAATGCTACCTAATCCTTGCATTCCAGTTAACAAATATAGTTCAATTTGGGGTGTAATCATTAACCATCAGCTATACTGTATGAGTTCTTTCATATTTTAGGCGGGGCCTTTCATATTATGAATAACTAATCAGAACTGAACAGATGGAATCTAATACACAGAACAATTAGAAGTTTTATAAAATGATATCTAAGTATAGAAAAAAATTAGCATAATGCTGCACTTCATTCTAATGGTATATTATAATGCTATGATATCACTGGTGCCTCTGGAATGAGTGCATTTTATTGTATTACAGTAAGATTCTGTTTCTGCATGGTATTTGATAATGTCATGAGGTGGAAGCAAATTTGCTTCATACTGATTGCTTCACTATTTTGCCGAGAGGAGCATCACAAATGCTTAAATGCATCTGATTCAATAAAGTTTATTGAAGGCAAAAAAAAGTTAGCTTTCTTGTTCTTGAAACAGTATTTATAAAGTATATGTGACTGTCTTCCAGTCCTTGGAATATGACAGGCTCATTCAGCATAATCCAACAAGGCATTGTGTCACTGGAAAATTGCATTTCCTGGAACAAGAAATGGAACTGAATTTTGTGCTTTCCATTGCCCAGCCATGATTTTGGATAATAGAGCATCAGGTATACTTCTGGTTCAGTGGGGCTCTAGGATGGCATTAAAAAATGATCATATTCTTGTCAAGGTGGAATCATATTCCTTCTTTGTTGAAGTGTGAATTTTAGAAGTTACTGTAAGCATATTTTAAATGAGAAAGGCAACCCTTTCTAATTATAAGTATTGTCATAATAGAATAATTATTCTCTTTGATGTAGGTGCAGCTTTGTGATGGTTGATCAGTGAAATGGAACGACATTTGTCCATGTACAGGCCACCATTGCCATCACAGGTGAGTGGGAAGTGGGACTTAGGTACTGACATCATTTAATGACTTTTATCTGAAGTGAAGCTTCCTTTGAACGATTGCTTATGTTTGTTTGTATGTATGTGTGTGTGTTTGTTCATGTGTGTGTGTGTGTGTGTGTGTGCATGCATTGAAGGATTTTTGGTATGTTCCCCCCACTTAGAGTGACTCTTACTTTATCTGGGAGCATTCTGATAAAGGCCTATAAGGGCCTGATAAGGGTGGCCTTCGAATCTTGTTGCTTTCATGATGCTCCTATGAGGAATGCCAATATCTCCATTGTGCTGTGGTGCATTTAGAATTGACTTAGTGGGACCTTCATATTGTGAAATACCATGACTTATTGGAACTTGGAATCTTTGTGTAAATTGTTTTAGAATGTGCTGGGTTTTCAGTCTTACTAAAAGACAGCATATTCATATGTTTTGCCTGATATTTAATGCATTTTATCTCACTTTGGTCATCTGTAAGTGGCTACTTTTAAACCCTTAATTAGTGCTATAAGCAAAGGGATCATGTGTCACAATTGCCAAAATTCTTATCTATGTATGGCATTTGGGCTGTTGGGGAACCTGCCCAAATGCCTTGGCTGGGAAAGCCTCCTAGCCAAGAAAAGGGTTGTCAGAAGTTTCCAACCTTTTTTGTGGTATGCATTGAAGCATTAACATTTGCTAAAAACTAATTAAGATGTTTTCTCATCCATTCTCAAAGTCTCAGGTACCCCTGAGCATTTCTAATGGCACACCTAATATCAGGTCATCCCATAATATGATAGGTCATCCCCGGTTTTTTCGCATTGCCAAACTTGTCTTGTTTATATGTGTATCTGTGCACATCTCATGGAATATTTCTATTCTAACTTGTGTAGACATTAGTCTTCAGTCTTTGTGTAGGTTTTAACAAGTTAACAGCGCTCTGTTTTTCTTAGACGTTAAAAACAAGATGGAGGTGTCAGAGGAACACATTCGACATATAATGCTTTATGAATTTAAGAAATGGAATAACACGACTGTAACTACGAAAAACATTCAAGATGTTTTTGGTGAGGAAGCCCTAAATGCGAGGAAATGCCAATGGTGGTTCCAGAAGTTCAGGTCTGGCGACTACAGCTTTGCTGATGAAGCGTGTTCAGGCCGACCTGTTGAGTTCGATGATGACCTGCAGATAGCTACACTTGAAGATTATCCTGCTAATGAGTCGATTCAAAAACGGCACTTGAAGTTCACAAGAATGCTGTGAAGTGCAAATGTTTTCCAGATCTCTAAGATTGTCTGGTGACAACACATGTGGAACCCACTTTCCAAGTTTTGACACTTTTCCCAGCCATTGTTTCCCGTCGTTTCCTAGCAGCAATGAACGGAGAAATGGGTTGAATTGAGTTTCTGGGCAAATTCTTACAGGGGCAGACTGTTACAGCAGGATCTTCTTCAAGTGTGGCTATCAGCAGGTCATCATCGAACTTGACAGGTCGGCCTGAAAGCGCTTCATCAGCTAAGCTGTAGTCGCCAGACCTGAACTTCTGGAACCACCATTGGCATTTCCTCGCATTTAGGGCTTCCTCACCAAAAGCATCTTGAATGTTTTTCATGGCTGCAGTCGCATTATTCCATTTCTTTAATTCATAAAGCATTATATGCAGAATGTGTTCCTCTGACACCTCCATCTTGTTTTTAACGTCTAAGAAAAATGGAGTGCTGTTAACTCGTTAAAACCTACACGAAGACTGAAGACTAACGTCTACACAAGTTAGCATAGAAATATTCCATGAAATGTGCACAGATACACGTATAAACAAGACACAAGTTTGGCAATGCAAAAAACCACATTACTTATGGGATGACCTGATAAATAACCACTGGTGTAAGTATGCATAGGTGCCAACTTTTAACAAATATTGGGGGGGGGGCAAGTTCTTAATACTCCTATACTCCTGAAATAACAATGACACAATTATTCGAGGATCCATTGGGATAGCTCAGTATTATTATGGTAGCATAGTGATGAGCGGGGAGGGGTGCTGGGCATGGCCCTTCCATCCCATACCCCTACAGGGTGACACGGGGATCTCCCCCAGGTGGAGCTCAAAACAGAAAGGAAAATCATATCTTCCATTTCTATTGTGAAGCAGTATTTTGTTTTCAATTTTCCATGTGCTATAATTTTGTTGAAATTTTGCCATTCTTGGGGGGGGCATTGCCCCCTCAATAATATAGTTGGGGGGGGGCATGTGCCCCTTTGCCCTCCCCCAGGTTCAGCACCAATGTAAGTATGTAGGCATCATTGTCAATACTATAAAATTGTTATTTCTTGTGTTTTCAAGTGAGATCAGAACCATCAGCTCTTGCTGTATTTTTTTCCTTGGTCTTTGAGAGGTGAAAAAATTATCAGAATGTTATTATTCATTTTAAGTGGTAGGCATAACAGGGTGGTGCATTTTTTTTTATCTCTACAGCTGGTGTTACAGGATCACAATTATGGAGCTCCACCACCTCCCTCCCCGTCTCCACCTCCTTCCCCTCCTTCACTTCCACCACCTTCCTCTGTCTGCCTCATCCCTTCCCCACTTCCTGCTCAAGATGTGGAACCTGCATCACCCATGTCCTCACCAGTGAATGAAACTGATAGCCCCTCCCAACCTCCTCAACCTGCATCTCCCATGAAAGAAACTCCTTCCTCTAAAACTCCCAATCTAGAGAGGGAGGATCGAGATTCCTCCTATTCCTCACCTTCTTCCACTGCATCCTCCTCATCTAGTACATGCTCTGACAGTGAAGCATTGGATAAGGAAGAAACAACACCAAAGCCTACAGGGAAAGGGAATGAGAAGGAATTGAAAGCCACTGCTCCTCTACCTACAGAGAATGACTACCAAGACTCAATCACTCGCTGCATTTGGTAAGGGTATCTAACTTGATGTCAAACCAATGCATTGACATGTAATTCAGCTCCTTTTCTGTGATATGTCAATTCTATATGCCTTATTCTTTTCTTTGCAAATGCAGTGGATTCACCCATGATGATGGATACATGATTTGCTGCGACAAGTGTCTGTAAGTTCATGCTACTCTTTACATCTTTCTTCTCTTCTTAGACCTTAGACATTAGAAACAAACAATTAAAACTTTATTTTTAAAGTATTGGTTCAATTGTCACTGTGGGAATGTTTTCAGTGACACTGTGAAATCCTTTTACAATTCCTGAAGGGTTGAGTTATTTCTTTGATAATCCACAATTTTTGACCTAGCCTCACTGATGGGTTGAAGACTGACATTGTTGCAGCCCATCTCCTACTGGTGACAATGCAATTGCCAAAAGTATCCTTCTGAAAGTCCATGGCAAAGTGTTCTGTGTAAAGCTTAATATTGTCCTGTTGAAAGATGACATTCTGCTTACCTGGCTCCTTTGCTCTCTAACTGAACTGATTCCTTCAGCATCTGTCTGTAATTGCATTGATTGATGTTTTCCATAAGAAAAGTGGACCAATTATTTGAAACCATCTTGACTTATGCAAAAGTTTACAGTTCATGTGACATAACAGTCTGCTTAGTATGTGAAAGATGTCATAAAATGACTTTGTTTACCTGGTTTAAGCTCTGAAAGTTCAAGAAATGTACTTCTGTGTAGATCATGGGCTACCAGATTAGACACATGAGTTGCAGGTATTGTCAAAGTTCCTGCTCTCATTCACAGATCAGAGAAATGTACACATAGCTATAAAGCAATGATATATCATCAAACAGGGTTATCTATCACTATCAGTGTATCTCACATAAAATTCTGGAGGGAGTTCCTTCTTTTTCTCTGGGAGATAATGCTTGCACCATCAAGCAAAATGGACTTCAATCAGCATTTTTCCACATAAGTTTAGATTTCTTCAGATAAAATGATGAATATGGATTCAGTTCGCATGAGGATAGCATGGGCTCCCACCATGTTTGTGAAAGTAACAAGAAAGCTGGGAAGCATGAAAAATTAATTTGCTATGGGAAGTTTTTTGTTATATAACATGTTAGATGAACTTCATGTTGTTCCTCAGACATGTAGAAGTTATTGTTGTAGAGCTCATATCCTAAAGAGCAGGAATTTCTCTGTATATGTTTGGCAAGGGGAGACTTCTTACAATTTTTGTGGAAACTTTTTTGTGACAGCCCATTTTATGAATATAAAGCCTAATAATGCATTCAGTGCCTATTGACTTGTCACAGGAAATGTTGAAGGAATGTCTTAAAATCTGTTTATTAGAAAATTAAAAATCCTTAATGAGTTTTATTGACAGTGCCTATAATCACATTTGATACATTCATATTAAGTTGACCCATTGATTTGTAGGAAAATATTTTTATTTTTGCTTCTGGATCAAAGAAGCATTTTCATAAATGCATTGTAAAGTGAACCTAGTTGAACTGTATGTTTCATTAACCTTAGGGCCCTTTTTTGTTTCAGTCCTGATGATAGGCATCTGTCCCTGATTATTTTACCAATCTTAAAGTTTCATTTTTTGAAGAATTTAAAGTTCCCCCTCTGAAGTAGCCCATTGCTAAGTTACTGGTTCATGAAGATGCCCTTTTTTTACTCTCATTTTCTAGGGTTTGGCAACATGTGCAATGCATGGGTCTGAATCCAGCCACAATCCCTGAGGAGTACCTGTGTGAAACTTGTGAACCGAGGAAAGTTGATCGAAGGAGAGCACGGACAATTCAACGTCAGAAAAGAGAAGAGCTGGGAATCAGTTCCAGCGATGATGAAGATTTGGCTTCATCTCTAGCAGGCGGGGTTAGAGGGACTCCAAGGAGCCGTCGCCCCCTCATCAAACCCGGAATCCAACCAGTAAAGAAGAACTTCCCTCCTAGTTCCAGCCAGGCAAAAGGGAAACATGGAAAGTCCAGCAATGCTGACAAGAAACCATTATCCTCTCCCTCCTCCAAGGAGAAGTCTGATAGAATTTTGAAGCAGATGAAAGTGAAACGAAGAGTAAGTCTGCTCTTTCATCCCTGTTTGATCTGCTCATTGATGCTCCTACATACAAGTTTTTCACAACTTGCACTAAGAAAGTCTGTCTTGTGTGGATGATTCTTGAGCACTTCACTATATCTTTCTGTTCTTTTCATTTGTGCGTGATGCTGATTGGAACTGATGTTTACATTTGCAGTCAACTCGTATCGCTTCAAAGACCAATGAGTCTGACCAAGAAGAATCGACAGAAATCAAACTTGAAGAAACAATTGTGAAGGTGGAAGAGGATCGAGATGTGAAAGAAAATAGGGATGTGAAAGAAGATATTAGGCATTTAAGGACTACCAGTCTTGAAAGTACTGGAAGTGGGACAGGTAAGGTGACGAGGGCAAGGAGAGAAGCCACTCTTACAACAGCAGCTGATCCCGAGTGGATGTCCCAGCTGAGGGAATGGATTGATGACTATGAAGAAGCTATAACCAACCATTATAGCCCTGAGTTAAAGGCACGACTCAGTGGGTCAGCCAAGTTGAATGGGATGAATCCTGACTTACGCAGTCAGAACCACAAGCAGCCCAAGTGCCGAGTTGTCATCTACCCAGATGCGGAAAGGGTAGGTGTCTTCATTGTCTTCTTTTGTTGCTGTTGCCTCAGATGTTTCTACTGGCAGCAATAGTTGAAATGTCTGTATCACTGTGTCTCATCCCTACAGAACCTGTTGTCAACCAGCAACTTGGATCCAGACCATTTCATTGTTGAATTGAAAGGAAGCTACATGCTGCTGTCAGAGTTGAAGGGTTTCCCTCGGCCAGCGAGCAGATATATCCCATTCCTAATCCACTACAGGATTCCCCGCCTAGGCTTGGATATCTGTGTGGATACCTGCCGTTATGGAAATATTGCTCGTTTTGTTCGCAGATCCTGCAAGCCCAATGCTCAGGTGAAGTTTTTTTCCCCTAACTTGAAGCAATTATCATCAGCAGTTGTTTCATATGAAATGATGACTATTATCTTATCATAAATACTGATTTTTGTTGCTATTCTAGATCCAGCCTTGCATGGACAAAGGAATGTTGAGGTTATTCATTGTTGCTGCATGCAACATCCCAAAGAACACAGAAATTACAATTCCTCATGATCAGAAGCTTTTCTTTGGGAATCCTCCTTGTGCTTGCAATTCTTCTGATTGCATTTTTACTACTTCAAAGCTCAAAAATGGCATCCCTGAACATGCTTCCACTTCCAGGTGACAAGATACTCTGATGTCAAACAGTTCTATCTTAAGTTCACTCTCTCTTTGGGATGAGTTGTTGAATGTGTACCAAAAAAATGATATTCCAGTGGTAGCAGTAAGAGGCACCCCCAGAAGGGAGGAGATACCTGTGATAGGAAGGAGAGCCCCGAGAGAAGCGGGAAGAAGTCTCATTACTCGACACCAAGTCGTGGAGATGAACCTCCCTCCCATTCTCAAATGTCACCCTCAGTACAAAACAGGACAGCATTGTCCCCATCATCTCTCTCTAGATCTGTTTCCCAAGAGGATGCTCCTAAGAAACTGGTAGCTTTACCCCTCCAGACACTTACTTGAGACATGTTACCTCAGCATTATCCATAAATGTGTGATTTCTGATATGCCTGCCATAGTCTCGAGAAGAGAGGAAGGATTTGGCCGTGATGAAAGTGTTTGAACGCTTGGAGAAAGAAGAGCAGAAGAAGCAGCAGAAGCATCATGATCCAAAGGTGGAAGAAGATAGACGAAAGAAGCGGAAAGAGAGCGGCGAGGGCAAGGAAATCCCTGATGCTCATCAGCCATCCACCAGGAAAAGGTATTATTGGTTCCTTCAACCCAGGAGGGTTGACTCCCTTAGTTTCATTTAAATGAAGTTCCATTTCTTTTCAGGAAGAGATCTCGACGCTCCATGTCGACTTCATTGGGCAAGAAACGCTTGAGGAAGGGTTCAGGAAGTTCTGATTTTTTATCCCTTGATGAAGGCAGCAGTACTGGAGTGATTCTGAATGGTGCCGTTTCTCCTCACTATCCTGAGAATCTTACTAGTCAGGGGTTTAGTGATGATCCTGAGAATGTGAGATCCCACTCCTCTCACTCCTATTATTGATCATAGGTTTCAATTAGACAACTGTTTAACTAGGTGATCATGCTTTTGCAGAACTCTGGCGATCAACTGGGTAACTCCAGTATGCCTGCCTTCAGAAGGAGACGGGACCGAGTTAAGGTTCAATTGCCAAGTTACTTGATGAGGAACAAGGCTGGTTCTGACTCTCATAAGTCTACCCCCAGCCCTTACAATCGCTCGACCAGCATGGTGACACACACCTCCTGTGATGGATCAGCCAAGCTGAAGAAACGTTGGCTTCAGAGGCAAGCCATCTCTGAAGAGCAGGAGGAATCGAGTTCTACTCTGTCCCCACAACCCATAGGAGGACCTGGTAATGGCATATGTGAGAGTCCCATTCATGATGCAGGTTGTTTCCTCTTCCACTCTCATGGAAATGCTGGTCTGAGGTTGATGTGAGTTAGAACTTATGATTTTTGGTGTATCTTGCAACAGCAGCAAGTTCTCCTAGCCAGTCTGCCGGATGTGTAACCCCTTTGAAGAAGAGGCGTTTTGCTCGAGAGTCAGTGGGTGATGTGGCAAGTGAGGATTCCACTTCTGCTTCTTCCAGGCTCCAGGAAGAGACATCATCTGTGTCTAGAACTGGTTACATGGTCTCTATTTCTATTCTCTTCTGACTTTTTCCCGCCGTTCTGAAACCTTGTCTGTGGGAAGACCAATCACATCTCATGGATTTCTCTTGCAGGGCTATGAAATCCTGTGGGGGAAGAAGGCAATTGGGATGCATGGGGACACAGACTATGATTCTGACACTGGGAGTTCAGCCTCATCTATAAAAGCAAATGAAGAATTGAACCTATCAGAGGAGCCTGGAACCTCCAGTAAAGTTCCAACAGCATTGCCACACTCGAGCCCCTCGCGTGTGAAAAGAGAAGACAGTTTGTCCTTAAGCTCTCCCTTTCAGTGTTCCAAAAACTTGGTTTCTTCAGTCCCCATCACCCCAGATGAAGAAACGATGGACGAGATTCAGTTCAAGGCTTCTTTGCCATCCTCTGCTGTGCAGAAGCAGGAATCCAAGACTGAAAGTGATATGACATTGAGTGAGGCATTGAATTTGGCTCAGAATCCAAAAGAGAACAACAGAAAAAAAGCGTTGGAAGTGGAGGAGGAGGAGGAAGAAGAGGAAGAGGGTGGAGGGATGAGCCTCAGTGAAGCGCTACCCATGTCTGAAAAGCCAGAAGGAAAGGCTAGAGAAGAGGAGATGCCAAGCTTGAGTGATGCTCTGCTGCATGGGAATAGGCAAGAGGAATCTGTGCAAGAGCCAGAGCTTCCAAAGTGTGAAGGACCTGAGGAAGAGGGGGCAGGATTGTTGAGTCTCAGTGATATCTTACCCAGTTGCCAAAAGGAAGAGGGAGAGAGAGAAAGAAAGAAAGTAGTAGAAGAAACTGAAAGGAGGAACCCAGTGATTGAAATGTCTCTGAGTGACGTCCTTGTGAGTAGAGAATGCAATGTCCAGACTGGACAAAGTCAAGAGGAAGAGTGTGCTTCTGCTGCCATTCAGGATACTGATGACCCAGACCCTGGTGATGCCAAGGAGCATGTGCCAGTGAAGCAGAGAGATGTAGTTGCTAGTGGCGAGGATGATAATGAAAACCGTAGTAAAGATGTGCCAACCCTGAGTGAAATTCTCAGCCTAGATACGCAAGACAAGGGGAGAAGAAAGACCGAACAGGAGGAAAAACGAGGCGACCCAGAAGAAGCAAAGAAGCGAGACATGCAAGAGAGCAAGGACGTTCCAGAATCTCATAATCCATGCACGGAAAGTCCTTCGCACGACGAGGGAGATACCCTCGAGGAACGTTCGCATGACTTCCATGAAGAGAATCCTCAGGACGTGGAGACTGAAGAGATGGAGGTCGAAATAGAAGAGAATGTCGAGGCTCCAGCCCTTTCCCATCAGCTCGTAGCTGAAGGGTCGGCATTGCATGCAGGTGCGGTTGAGATCGAGTCTCGTCCTTGCGCAGAGACATCGAGTCTTCTGTCGTCCTCGGACAAGGAAGAAGAGGAAGAGGAATATTTGTTACACCAGGAGTTGAACACAAACGAGATGTCTCGGGCAGAATCGCCTCTGAATGCAGCCCCTGAACCAACACAAATCATGCATTTGCTCCCGAAGAAAAAGGTAATATGCGTTGGGAATTGTGGGTTAAATTATGTTTAGTGTCTCGTGGCTTTTATTGAAGTGTCTGTTGATGATGCTCTACAGATCTCCATCACGGACTATCGAAGGAGAAGATCTGAGACCCACGACAAAGACGATGGAGGAGGATTCTTTAAGAACTCGGAAAAAACATTTCAGACATCTATGGACGACGAGATCAAATCTCTGCCGTATCTTCCCACCCTGGACCGGCTTCCCCTCCTCGACATGGACCCCAGGCTTTTCGCTTCTTCTCTGGAGGAGAAGTCCACTAAAGGTAGGTTAATTCTCTTACTCTGCCACTGTCGTCTTCAATCGATATCCTAATATCGCACGCTGTCGCTGGCGATTCTTTCAGATGGATTGATGAAGAGCCTCAGCCTCGAAACGGGACGTAGAAAGAAGACCGAGCGAGATGGTGCTCGACTGAAGGATCGCCTGGGACTCATAGAAACCAAGGGCAATATGTCTCTGGGAGATGGCAAAGTACAAATATCCAAGACTCAACCGATTTCTCTGTTGTCCAGTGGAGACGATTTCTCGACGTTCAACAGCCTCAAAGAGAAACTGGGACTGACAAACTTCGAGGGCAACACTGGGGGTGGGGATTCCAAGCACGATGAACTGAAGAAGCGCTTGGGCCTCCTGGATCCTGATTCCCCTTCGGTTCGACTGGAAGAGTTCAAAGAGCGTCTTGGCATCGGCAAACTTCCTGTTAGTGGAGGGAAAGAGCAGAGCGCTGGAACATCGCCAAAAAATCTCGAGGAGCCGGCAGTTGTGAGGCCTTCCGTTCCGTATCAGAAGAAAAAGCTCAAGAAAAAGAAGGCAAGTTCCTCGTCGGTCCGCGATAGAGAACTTCTTCAAGGGGACTCGAACTCCACCGTCGCAAAGAAGGAGCGAAGAATGACGAGCAGCAGCGTTCGCCATTCCATTGCGAAGGTGAACCGATGGAAGGCTGCCCTTCAGACCATGCCGCACACGAACAAAAAGAGAGAACAGCTGGAGAAACGGAAATTGGCCGAGTTGAAGCGACTCGAGAAGATGGGCGTTTTCGAAAAGGACGTGGAAGCTGCCGACAGGCGGAGCAAGGAGAAGGAGAAGGAGAAAGAGAAAGCGCCCAAGGACGACGAACACTGGGTCCAAAACGTGATCGTCCTCTCCGAGAAGGACCTGCTTGACGACTTCTTCGAGCTGCACTGCCTCTTCCGGCTTCCCCGTCTCCCCCTCCTCCTCTTCGAGGGGCTCGTAAGGCAGTGGCACTCCCGGTAGGAGGCGGTCTAGGTCAGCCCCGACGCGCGCTACATCGCGAAGGTGAAGGACCGAGAGGACGTGCGCAAGATCAACAAGCCGCTCAACCTGAATCGAGAGGAGCGGTTCCGTAGGCGAGAGTAGTGCTTGGAGCTCTCCAGGAAGTTGTCGCTCGTCGTCTCTTCTTCGTTCTTCTGCTGCAGGCCGTCCCCCAGCCTCCTCACCGTTAGCTTCCTTCAGGTAGGAGAAGGAAGAGGGGAGACGAGAAACCGTGACGAAGAGGAAACGAAGGTGACTTCTGAAGATGGCAAGGAGGAAAAAGTATTCGACCGGGAGAAGACGAGGAAAGAAAACGAAGACCGAGAAGAAGAAGAAGAGGAAGGAGAGATCCGAGTGGAAGTTTCGGCCGAGGAAATTTTACACCTGGAGCAAGAAAGGCAGAGGCTGCTCGGTCTTCTCAAGGTCTTCGATGCCCTCAACGAAGACCCATCCGGTAGGTCTCGGGAAGTCCATCTCCTCTCCTACCTTTCGTGCGTTCGATTTTTTCATTCTTCCACTTACAGGTCGAAGCAGCCATCTGGGGGACTTGGAACCGGGGGAAATCCTCACGTCCTCGTCTTCCTCTTCCTCCTCGTCCTCTTCGTCCTCTTCGACGTCCGACTCTTCGTCCTCCGCTTCGGACTCCTCGTCTTCGTCGGACTCCTCCGACGAGGGTTCGTCCTCCTCGGCCGAGAGAAAGAAGGCAAAGAAGAGAACGGCGGCGACGAAGACGACGGAGTCGAGAAGAGAAGAGAAGAAAAAATCTGCGGAGGTAGACGGAAAGTCGGAAACGGGAGAAGAGAGAGGAGTCGTCGCATCGAAACCCAGTGGTCTCAATTCCCTGACGATGAACTCCTCCGGTCTGGGACCGGTGCCCCAAGCGCAGCAGCAGTCGGGAGGAATGTGTGCCCCGCCGCCTCCGACCATCTCGAATCCCCTTGCGGCTCGCCCGGTCCCCCCACCGAACAGCATTCCTTACCCGCCTCCCCGCCCTCTTCGGAACGCTTCGTCTTCCACAAACAAGAACCCCGGGACGACGAGTGCGACTCCCATCTCGTTGCAGGCTCAGGCTAGACCTTACGTGCTCCCGGTGTCTTACAAACTGGGAAGTTACGGGGGAACGAGGGAACCCCCCGGGTTCCCGAGCGGCGGTTACGAAGCGAACCTGTTAGACGCGGAGTTGGTGGGGGCGGAACAGAGAGGAATGACGGTGCCGGTGGTCCCCCTCAACGCGGGTTTCGCCGACTATCGCACTCATCCCGGACACCAGCGTCGCCACTTCCGTCATCGCGGAAAGATGATGATCGGTCTTCCTCCCCCACCGCCTCCGCCGCTGCCTCCGCCTCCGCAACCTTCCCCTTCTCATCCTGCATCCTCGGGGATCGCACACGGATACTGAGTGACTTTTTTTTTTTTCTCCCCTGGGAATGGGGATCGTGAAAAGTTCAAATACATCTTTCTCTCTCTTACTCTTTGCTTTTCTCATCAGATGTGGCCATGTGACATTGCTTGAATGGTAGAGAGAGTGCTATTTTTTGTAATCGTTTGCAAGAGGGAATGACGAGAATTCGGGCACCTCTCCTTAGCAGTGTATATGTGGTGGTACACTGGCATGAGAGCTGTGAGCATTTTTTTTTTCTTTCTTATCCCGGGCCGGTTCTCTCGCGTGGCCTCCCCACCTAACATGCACATGCCACCGATGAGATGTTGCCTTCTCATGAAACATGTTTCCTTGCCAAGGCCACAGACGAGAGTCTAAGAGAAGACTGCGAACGGAGAACCGTTTGAAGCGCTGAACTTTCGGTCTTTCTCCCTCTCTGTTGGATCAATTTTAGTGTCAAGCCTGTGAGTCGAAACTGATGCTTGTGGCTAGAATCGTTGCCTCGCTTGGTGATTGCTGCGAGTCCTTGGTTTTTGCTTTCCTTTCTCTCGGTATGTTTTTGTCCTGCCGTAGAAGCGGCAAGAGTTTCGTTCGAAGAGAGAATATTCAGAAGTATCTCCTTGATTTTTTTTACTTTATGGTCTCTTTCCCCTTTTTTTGGAGGGGATGACAAAAAAAGTATAGAGTGCATGACGAGAGAGAAGGTGTGAAGTTCGCATCGGGACAATCCCTCGAAGGAGGGAGATGAAAATGAGAAATTTTCGCAAACAGAGTACAAATACGGTGTCACTTTTTTCCCCCTTCCGCTCGTGTGTTGACGTGAGGTCGTCCCCTGAGGAACGGAAAGCAAGAATCCACACGTTGCCCCCCTTTGTTATCGGCCCCTGCCGAAGAAACAAGAAACAAATAGGCAGGGTTGCTGCTTTTTGTCCTTTCTCAGGTGGCAGCAGCAGCCTCCAGTGCTTTTTTTTTTGTCCCTTGTGTCTACTGGCTCTACCTTTCCCTACATCTGTTGGTTTTTTTTTTAAGTTTTCTTGTCTTTGAGTGTGCTTGAAATTGAAACTACAAATGAAAAGTGTGGTCAGATGATCCCAGTTGGACTTTCATTTAAACGCCGAGTACACGTCAGAACACCATCAACTCGGTTGCTTTCAGCCGAATTTCTCAGCCCTTTGACTTATACCTCGACGAGAACCTCTCCGCGTTTCCAAGAAGAGAATCTCCTTAGCTCTGTACAGTTTCATCAGACTTTGTTCCTATGATAGCTATTTCCTGGCCCTCTCCGTAACAATCCTTTACTCGATTCGAAAGCAAGAAATTCCCACATCATATCAGTTCCTTCTGAGAATTCCTTTCAGATTATTTTTAATCTTTAAACTGCCGACTTTGCAATGAGCGATCAAACTCTCAGTGCTGAGCCTTTCTTGTCGTTTTAGTCCAATCTGTCTATCCTGACGGAATTACGTTTCTCTCATACGTTTTTTTAATTTATATTTCTTGTAACCATTAAATTAGGTACACAAAGGCTCGTATTTTGACTCGACATCCGCACTGCTAACACGGTACGCTAGCGCCGAGCAAACTCGATCGCCCCAGTTAAAAGGTTAAATGCTTTCATGGAAGACCTTGTCTACATGTGGTTCCCGAGAGGATATGATACTGACATAGAACATCCTTCTCCTTAGGAGTAACGTGAAATGGTAATAAAATAGAGGAAGAATCTTGAGATGGCAACAGCTACTAAATGAAATGATTCCTCTCAAGATTTAAGAATGCCTCCACACATCACAAGACGAAGTGACCGAACCACATCAGAGTGTCCGTGGGACTCCACTCTGGACGAACTGCTGAAGAAGCTCGACGTGACGGAGAAGGCCGAAGGGGCAGAGGGGGAGGAGGAGAAGCTCCCCGAGCATTCCGTCACCGTGAGGGCCATCCTCCGCCAGATCCAGTCGGGGCTGCGGCGCTACATCGCGAAGGTGAAGGACCGAGAGGACGTGCGCAAGATCAACAAGCCGCTCAACCTGAATCCTCTCCTCGCCAAGGCATCCGCTCTCATCACGAACCTCGAGAGGTCCTTCAACAGCGAGCAGCAGAGAAGAAGCAAGAAGACGACGTCCGGCAGGGGGTCGGAGGAGTGGCAATCGAAGGAAGTCCATGGAGAAAGAAGGGAGAAGATGAGAAACTGGAACGAAGAGGAAACTTCGTTCCGGTTCCTCATCAGGAAAGAGTGATGGCCTGTGGAGATACCAGCGAGGGAAAACGTCATCGGCAAGGGAAGGAAACGACAGAATCATTTTCGGAAACAATACTAATACGACCCCTTAACCCGTTCTCCTTGTGTGTTGACCAATTAGGAACGGAAAGCAAGGATCTACAGATTGCTCCTTTGTTATCGGCTCCTGCCGAAGAATCGAGGGACAAATTAGCCGGATTCCTGCTTTTTTGTCTTTTCTCAGTTGGCCGCAGCAAGATCCAGTGCTTTATCGTCCGTTGTCTCTCCGGGTTCTCTACCCTTACTTTTTTTTTAAATCTAATATTTCCTGTCTTTGAGCGTGTTTGACTTTGGAAGAATAAATGAAAAGTGTGATCGTATGACTTCACTTAGCCTTTCTTTTAAACACCGTTCTCGCACCAACTGCATCAATTCACTTGAGGTCAAGAACTTCAAAATTCCAGTGGGCCAAATCCCCCACCATTTCGACTCATCAAGTCCATTCCCTCAATTCGAGGATCACACGGTCGTTCGAGTGAGACTCGTCGCAGCACGACCTCAATTAATTAAAACAGGACTGCACAATATGCAGGGTGACAAAAAAAAAACAAGCTATTGACTTCAACATGCTATAAATCAGGCAATAGTGCCTTGGTTTGAATCAGGCACACAGACCTTGCGAGTTTAGAAAGGATCGGAAGCCAGAAGAATGATGAAATAATTTTCTGGTGGAAGGAAACTTCCATGTCGATCCTCCTGACTCAACACGCGCATTTCGACGCATTTCCAGCGTTTTTTTTCCAGTTCTTTTTCTGTTCACTACCTTTTTCTTCGAGTCGCTCTTCAAACTTCCCGAATGACGCTCTCAAGACCACTTCTTGCCCAGTTTGTTTTACCAGAAAATTCATTCATCATTCTTCTGGCTTCCCATCCCTTTTAAACTCGCAAGGTTTGATCACCGCCAAGTCTTCCTGAAAGTTGCTCGGCATTGCTCGGTTTTAGTATTAAAAAAAGTCGGCTAAGGAAGAAACACATCTTGAAACATTGATACGGAAAATAAAATGTGTTTTTGTTTAACAACAGCTGTCCAACTCAAGCGGCAGGTGGGGACTGTTGCAGCAGTTTTCCAATTGGAGGCGGCCATTTTCACCCCGATTAAACAAAAACTCGTGATACCATGACATGTAATTTTACATGTTCTGCAAAAGAGCTGTTAAATTGAGTGCCTAAAAAGCCGATTCAATGCCTCATGTCCTGTTGGTCATCCGGGCCCGCGATGCACTCTTAGAAAAGAGTGAGCGATTTCCGAGAAAGGGAGCGAAACTGGAGTTAGCAATTTTACTCCCTAAAAAAACAAGGAAGTGCAGCCGCTCACCTCTCTCTTTCCCGAGAGTCGCCACTAATATTTTCCACTAGTTTGAAAAGTACTCTCTCCTTCGTTACGCGCCCTTAAAAAAGTTATGGATTCTGCTCATATAAAGGAGTAGTTATCGATTGCACTTCCTCAATTTTAGTGTGTAAAATCGCCAACCCCAGTTTCGCTCTCTTTCTCGGAAATCGCTCACTCTTTTCTAAGAGTGAAGGAAAGTAAAAATCGCTAATGAACCCCTCACAGCCTTTTGAGTTGTGCAACCCTGCCTTAAAACATTTATCGTACGAATGTTAGATATATCTGACGCTGTACACGAGTCACATCAACGAGCTCTTCTGGTCCTTGGGTGGGCTCCTAACCCATATGAATGATGTAACTGTCAAACCCTTGGGGTTTAAAAGAGCGGAATTAATTTCCGGCCTTGAGGGGACCGAAGTATTTAAAAATCTCCGTACGATAAAGGTCAAGGCCTCTCTTCCTTCATCTGGAAAACCAGATGCGGGGCAGATCATCAGCATCCCCCTGGCCGCTCTCTCCCGGGCTGCCAATAATTTGCATATTTCGAAGGCGGTAGGCTGGAATGGAAGATGGTTTCTTTTTTTCGGTATGAGAATGAGAGTGGTGCAATTTCTGTCAATAAGGTTGCCTCAATGATAGTGTGAAACTGATGAAGATTCAATATTCATTGCAATTAAATTGAACCCTATTCTGGGTGCCCTGCTTCACTATTATTACTCCACAATATTCACCCGCTACATTATTTTTGGCAGGCATTTTAATAAAACACAAGACTCAGTGACGACTCGACAAAAGTCGCCCAGAGCCAAGACAAGATTTGATATGACAATCGTCGGACTTGAGACGAAAAACCTGGAAAAACTCCAGAGGAAACTCGCCTTACTTACATAATTATTCATCTGTTATCGATTGGGAAAAGACTTATCGAAGCCATTAGCCGGAGAAGATCAGCGCGAAGCATGAATTTTCATGAATCGTTCAATGGACAACAGATGATATATCATCGCCAAAAAAATGGCAGGACCGAGACGAGTTGATCGATCTTGATGAAATTCGGTGCGCGAGCTCGTACTAGCATTCCACGAATGCCAATATGAGATGCATGTATCAGATTGATGCATCAAGCTGATGCATGCACCAAGTTGAGGCATGGTATCTGCATTATCTCATCTCACGACCTCGATTTTCCTTCGCATCTTCAAGAGTTTTCCTGCCGCGTTTCGTCAATAAAAACTTGGGTGACCGATTATTGTGACCCCATAGCCGCTATTGAAATTTGACCTTTTTGGCAAGTTTTCTCCGTGAATATTCATCCCACACACTTGAAACTCTAATCGACTTCATGGAATGCTAGTACGAGCTTGTGTACCAAAATTTATCAAGACCGGTCAACTCTTTCTTGGTTGCGCTTCT